CATCCCACAAAAAACGCGTCACAAGGGAGATCTCCAAATCAGCTGCGAAAGGTGGATTTGGGTGGGTACCCCCAAAATGCTTGGCTGGAATTAGGACCCCAGCAAAGTTTTTTTTTTTTGCCTGGTTAGTGGAAAACAAAGGGAACCCAAAAAAAGCAAAAAAATGGAAAGGGGGACTAATTCTGGGGAAAGAATAGGGGTACCCCCAAAATGGTGGTTCCCCTTTGCTGGGCTGCCCGTTTTCAGATCCCCTGCTAAAAGTGAATAACTCTTCGTGGGTTCAATTCGGAAACCCCCACTAAAAGGCTAAAAGGCTAACAAAAAGCGAAGGAGCCGAATGGCTGGGGGCCACCAAGTTGTCTCCCTTACCAAGGAAGACACACACACTGTGGATGGTTGCGAAATCCAATTCGCACCACGAAATGAAACCATGGTTAAAACCATAACGTTTGTTGGCATTTACAGGGGAATCGAACCATTCCAGAGTGTCTTAGGTGGTGCAGGATTTTGTCCATCCACAGTATTGCCAACTCCAAAAGGAGTTGAAGCCCTTTGGTTCGACGTCGCAACCCCCCCTTGCGGGCCCCTTTGAAAGGAGAAAGTGGCCTTTGATGAGTTGGCTGTGGCTCAAGAGCAATGGGATCCCATTTTGGGGGTAGGTGCACCACCCATTTTAGAACCTATTTTAGTGGGGATTGGGATGTTCACTTGGGGGTACGGGATTTTGACCCATGGCCAGTTGGGCTGCAAGCCGCTGTAAGACAAGCCCGTGAACGATCATCCAAACTTTTTTTTGGATATGTGTCGACATAGGGGGGGGCTCCAAAAATGGTGTGTTCGATTCGGTTTCCCTTTGACACCACACCAAAAACAACCCAAAAGGTGACAGAGAGACCTCAAAAAAACACCTACCCATATTAAAACTCGCTACCAAAGCCTGACCCTTGGGTCTCTAACACTTAACACTTTAGCTACCAGGAGAAGGGCTGGTACTTGGTCAACTTGCAGGGACCAATTCCCTGTCAGCTGCCATGTTGGTGCAGTGTCAAAGCTAAGGACGCCTAATTGAAACAGTGTTGACATGATCGAAACGACAGCGACCAATTGTTCCCTACGTTTGACGCAGCCAGTTGTGCCCCTGGGTGGGATTGCACCCAAGCCACAGGAAAATCAATCTGAACACCGCCCAAGACTGGTGGTTCCACCAGGATGTTTGTCAAGACCGACCGACCGACCAAACAACCAACCGATCAATTGAACATTTGTGGAGGGTACGACAAGCCCCGAAACAACCAGTAGAAAAGCCATCACGTAGCCCCACACCGTTGGCCGTGGGCCTGATCTTCAGGCAAAACCAGCCAACCAGGGTTCGCTTGTTTTCGACACTACTGTGGATGGACGAAATCCACTTCGCACTAATTGGTAGGTGAGGTGGTTCCCAATACTTCTAGGGGATCATCCATAGGTGGTGCGAATTGGACTTTGTCCATCCACAGCAGGGGCAGAAGGCGGGGTCCCTTTTATTTTCCCAAAGCTGGGGTGCACAACTCAGAAACCACTGTGGAGCGTATCTGAAATCGAACAACTCTAGCTGTTCCTTTCCCCTTTACTTCAGGCATCCTTCTCTTAAAGTAAAATGCCGAGCCTGTGGGAAAATGCTTCTCTTAAATCTTAAAACTGAAAATGCCCAACCTGCGGGAATGGTCTTTCTAACAGGGCTCCCTATATCTCCCCTTAAAACATCACACCCACCAAGGGATACTCACCGTTCATGGGCCAAAAAGGTGATGTTTAAAATTGCCAAACAGGGAAATATAGGGACCCTGTCTAAAGACAATGGTTGCAATCAACTCTTGGACCAGCCTTGTGCTCCTCGAAGAGCTGGCGCAAGCCCTCAGTGTAGACCTGGTCGGATGGGGATGCTTCGGTCTGGTTTTGGGTCCGGGCGTTAAGTGAGTCATAATCAAAGCCCGGTACTCAAATGGTCCAAGCCCAGACCCATGCTTCAAGAATTAAGAAGCCGGATATCCGAAGCTATGGCTGGGAGTATCCCAAACCTAACCTCCATCTACCCGAATCGGTTTTGATTGTGGCTCAAGTTGAATCAAGCTAAGCTCCCAGAAGCCCTTGGAACCTCAGAGAAATCCTCAAGGCTTCAGAGAGGATGTCAAAGATCCACCTAGTATCTCCAAATTTGGCAAAAGTACACGTGATATCTTAACAAAACACGCTCAAAATACAGAATTTGGCCTTCACCTACAAGAAGATCCTTGGAATCTGGCAAGAGTAACCGTGATATCTCAGGCACATTGTTTGGGCTCAAAATACGGAAATCGCCAAGTTGGGTTGCCTTCCTTTAGCGAGCCCAAAATGACACGCCGACATGACTTGATTGGTTTGTGTTGGTGGCGAGATGTCGGGTTCCTGGACAAATCCAGTTCGCACCAGTTGGTAGGTCGTTCACCCCAATCTTTGTACGGCTTCATTTTAGGTGGTGCAGGATTTGGTCTATTGACAGCAGTTCTCAATTGAAATCAAATGGGAAGTTGCACTTCCAAACCTCAACTTGGTTCGTCTAATATGGAACCCGACAAATGTCCGGCGTTCCCTTTGGCTTCCGTCTTTGACTCTTAGACAACCAACTTCTCTTCACCCATCATTCTCCCTAGAAGCGAGCCACGTTCTAAGGGAATTGGCTCGTTCTTTGAAGAGAAGGATGCCAAAAGAGAATGGAAAAGCAAGGTACAGCTGGAACCGTCATTTTAAACACCGGCCAACAGTTCCCAATTTGCGTTTGTGAACAGCAGATACTAGCAATCTCTGCGGCAAGCACAGATAGAACAATGGTTGGGCGGTGCTTTCCATCACAGGATGACTTCCAAATGGGAACAAACCAATGACAATGTTGGGGTCTGCCCCAAACCATGTTTGATGATGATTTGTTTGGGGCTGACACCTGCACAGCGGGCCAACTTGAAAATTATAACAATCATAGCTCTGGGGGTTGATTCCTTGTCCATTCTTTTCAGCCATCGCTCTTTTCAAAAACCAACCATTTCCCCAGGGTTTTTGGTGGTTTTCTAGAATAAAGGATCCCTGGAAAGAATGAGGAAGTTGCCCCTAGAATAGCTTCCTTCAATTATGCTACTTTGTGACAGTGGAACCGCCACCGCATAAAAAAAGGCAAATTATACGTGCAGACACCTCAACAACGTGGGTACCATTCTTGCGCCGAAAAAAAGACAACAACCAATTCGACGGATTAGAAGTTCAAGGTAATTCCTGGAAGTATTCTCTTGTATATTGTAGATCTAGCCACTTGCTCACGCGAGGGGAACCAGGAGGGACGTTCAAAAATACAAGGTCCAGAGTTGGGCCATCTCATCTCTCTCTTCAAGGGGGTCACGACATGGGCAAAGGGCTGCACACACACAGGTCCCCATGCGCCACCTGATTCTTTGCACACGGAATCAAAAAGTCCCAAACTGTCACAAAGGGGTCCAACGCAAGCATCTCCTGTTTGAACTATCCCTGTCGACCGTGCCATGCCAACCAAAAGAAACTGCAGCTTCTCAAAAGGCGAAAGAAGACTTCGGCAACGTGATCAACCATGTTTCTACAGAGTCATCTGGTGGCATCCCTCGAGGTTTGTACTAAAACCAGTATCCGCCTGATGCCATTTGTCCACATCCTCCTGGCTGGGCGAGGGGATGTGCGGCATGTCGATGCCACGGCCCACCTCGGCCATCAAAATCGGTGGAATCTGGCGATGAGTCCAAATCAGGGGCCCTCTCAAATGGCTTTCCCGTGTAGATCCCAACAAGCAGCTCCAGGAGCCCAAAATCATGGGCTTCCTTCTGTGCGTTCCCTTTAAACTAACGACCCCCCCCCAAAAAAAAAAACAACAACAACGAGCCTTAAAAAAAGAAACACACGCACACACACACACACCCACTCGGCCAAGAACCGGCCGCCTTTTCTCCAGAGGGCAAAACTCACGGCAACGGTAAGTTGAAACCGGCCCCCATTGGCGCGCAGTTTCTGTTTGACGCAGCGATATATTGGGGGAAGAAGCAGAAAACCCCGACAAAGCCCCAGCCCCCCCCCCCCCCCGGCCGTGAGATACCGTGCAAATAGATCATTGGCAAGCTTTTGTAGTAGGTAACTAGCTATTGTCCTTTTGGTATTTGAAGGCTGCCAAGCTACAGGTAAATGGATCCACTGGGCCACAAATGGGGTTACCGGCTAGGGGCCCTAGGGGTGCAACTCATTGTGGTCAACTGCCCATCTCTGGCGAGCTTTTTGTAAGCCTCAGCCAGGGTTACAGGATAATCTCTTCTTGGAGTTTCCCCCATTCCTCGAGCTGTCAACATTTGCCTCAACTGACATTGGAATTTGCAAAGCACAGTTTCCAATGATTTGAGAAGTGCACCCCAGCCATCTCCTTTTAGTCAATTACTACCATTCATGGCTGTTTTCGGATGCACAATCCAATATGTTTGTTTTCCCTTACTCCCTTGAAAAATAAGAATAAACAACATGGTACAGGATCGGACACGTTGACCGTGGCTCACAGTGCAATTTCCTCGGTCAATGCTCAACACTCCGTTCAAAACCTTGTGCAAATGCATCAATCAAGTAAAGGGCAAACATGCAGAGCATCACAGTCGACGCCACATTAATCAACCTCACAGATTTTAAGGCGGGTGTTCCCCTAAAAGTGACGGTTCTCCTCTAACATGGGAACAACATGTTCCCCATCCGTCAACTTCCTGGTCAAACACCAAACGGCTCTGCTCAGTTGCCCAAAGGACCCAGAAACAAAAGGTTGACCTGTTGGGGCCATGACTAAACAACGCACCAGAAGGGGCAAGCAGAAGGGAAAAGTTTGGGCTTTGGGCAAGTGAGCATGTCCTTGCTCAAAGGTTCAACCCTTGGTTTTATTCTCAGCATTTTCGTCACAACATCTTAAACATGGTGTATGCCAAACATTAGCATCCCTACAAAAAACCAAACAAAAACAACAAAAAGGGTCGAACTCTGTCCGTGGAGTCGAAGCTTGGGTTCCGCGCGTAGGTCAGGATCTTGGACTGCGGTCGCGGCAGAAAGGGCAAACAGGGCCACCCAAAGAAGGCGAGAGCGGGCACGTTGTTCTTCGCCTCAGAAACGGAGGGGGAGGCAAGGGGGAGGCAGGGGGAGGAGGGAGGCAGGGGAGGGGAGAAGGCAGGGGAGGAGAGGAGGGAGGCAGGGGAGGGATGAGAGGGAGGGCTTGGAGGCGGGCAATGAATTCAAATTGTCAAATGAGCCAGTGTCAAATCAACTATACCCCGTTAAAGCGCTTTGTTTTCATATTCACAAAAAGTTTGAGATAAGAGCCACAATGAAAGCTGGCTGAGTTCGGGGACAATTCCAACCAATAAGTGCTTCCACCAATCTGAATCTTGAGGATTTCGGTAGACTGCTCTATGACTCTCACGGCGGCACTTGCGACTGGTGGCCGTGGCTTCTTGTTTGCTATTTTTATGTTTCTTGTTTCTTGTTGTTGTTATTGTTTTTTCCGAATACCGATTGGGGACAAGCCGATGCCCATCCGGAACCTGTTTGGTGCCCTGGTGGATCTTGGCCGCTCGCTTAGACTTAGGTGTTCGGCCAAGCTAGCAAGTAGGTTACAACCATGGTTATAAGGGGACAAGCAGCCCAAGTTAAATATGGTTATAACCTGGCTACTAACTAATAGTTGCTTGAACATCCCAGAAAGGAGAACCGACCCCAAACACAGGCGGTCGACGGCGGCAAGCGGACAGGCGGTGCGATTTTTAACTCTAACAAAGCAAGGATAGGGCACTGAAGTTCTAGGCTGAAAACAAGAACTAAGTCCTTGTGACCCGGAAATTGCAACTGCTTCTGGTTCAAGCGCAGCGGAAAGCTTGGGGCCAGTTCACGTCGGCACTTCGGTCGTTTGAGGTGCTACACAGACAAGATGTGCCTGTCTTGACCTTCAAGACCAAAGTGACGGAAATACATATACTCACCTTAAGCAAGTGGACGACATTTGGAAACAAGCTCTGGATTCAGATCCTCCTCTGATGGGAGCACGAATGGAGGGATTACTGGGACGGTCCGGAATCAACAGGTATTCATCATTTGGTGACCTTTGCTACAGGCGCAATTCAGACCCTCACTTCCTGAGCCTTCCAGGGAACATCCGATTCAATCCCCCACTAAAATAGACTAAAATGGGCGGTTCGCCTACCCCAAAATGGTACCATTGGTTTTGACCCACAGCCAAGCCATGTTTCTGGGGGGTGGGCTGAGAATCAACTGTGCTTGATCCTCACTTCCTGAGTTCCGTTTCGGACTTTAGTCACTTTTTGGGTGGTTTGGACCATTTTGTTAGGTTAGTAAATACACAGTTTGGATACTTTTTTGGGGCCATCCACAGCACACTTGAAACGTAGATGAAAAAGAAGAGCGCGTTAACTGCTGGTGATGCTGAGGATGCGTAGTGATGATCATCATCAGGATGATGACATTGATGCTGAAATTGATGATGAAAATGATGATGAAAATGATGATGATGATGACGAACTTAAATGAGGATGATGATGATGATGAACATGATGATGAAAATAAATCATCATGAAGATGATGATGAAAGTGATGATGGTGTTCATCATCATCATCATGTTCATGTGCATGTTCATGTTCATCATCATCATTTTCATCATCATCATCAGCATCATTTGCATCATCAGACCCGGGCCCCGGGGCGACTTTCATCCTCAGGCGCTTGAAGCCCCGGAAAGTGTGGTACCTCAGGCGCGGTTTGGGTGGATGGGTGGGTGGGTGGGTGGGTGGGTGGGTGGGTGGGTGGGGTCGGTGGGTGGGGTGGGTGGGTGAGGTGACCACCTCCTTTCAACAGAGGGGAGCCCCTTTGAAGTCCGCTGATGGGGAACCTGCAACATTTGCTTGGTTGCCGGGCCGGCCCAGAAGTGACCTAGGATATCTGGGTGTGTCCGGTGTGTTACACTGCTTCTTGTGAACAGGGACAAACGAAAAGAACCAACAAGTTCAAAGGGTCACCCAGTAGAGGAATCATCCCTGCCTTGGTTGCTGCAACGACCTCTCTGCAAAAAGTGCGTCACTTCTTTCTGGGTCCATTTCGGAAAAACCCAAACCAGTGTCAACCGACACATTAAATCCAAAGATCCCCTACCAAATGGCCATACAAATAGGTCAAACATGTGGTGGAAGCCCAGCTTAAACAGCCCGAGGATCCCATCTTTGGCGCCCACCAAAACACATTCCATGGTCAAAATCGAGGAACCTGTGGGTCATGGTCATGGGTCCAGAAATGACAAGATGCGCGGTCTGTCTAGCACTCCTATTAGGATGACCATCCTATCAATGCCAAGGGGTCCATTGACTTTGCGGCTTGCCGATCAGAGACTAGCACCCTCCGGTGATACTAGCCTCAAACTACGGTGGGAGCCAAGCTCCGGGAATCCTAGCATGGCTCCGAAAGCGATTGTGCCTACCTCGTTTGATACAGGTCCTTTCCACCTCTGGCTCAAATGGTGTGTGGATGCATTCCTTGCCAACCCTACGTTGGGGAACAATGGCAAGTTTGCGAATATTCGCATCTTCGCGGATTGGGGTTTGAATTATTTCGAAGATTAAATCTTCGTTCGGGATCCTGGGTCGCTTGTCAATTCCCGGAAGAGCAGTGTCCATGCCACAAGAAACCTTGGGTGAGGCTTGGCCGGAAATACAGGGGCCTGCAAGAGTTCGGGCACAAAGCGCGTGGAGGTCTCAAAGTTCTGGACACATTTCCAAAATGGGTTGTCTAGCATTGCAATCTGAGGTTTGCTTTCAGGAAGCTGCCAATCCGGAACTGTGGCTGTTCCAATATTGGTTGGCACTTCACAGTGTAAGCTCTGAATGCAAGCCACAGCTCCGTCCAAGTAATACCTATATTCCTCTGAGCAGGGCAAGGTTCCGAGTGCCACTCAAGGCGGCAGAAAGCGTGGAGTCCCTTAACGTAGGTATTTCCCCAAAAGGCTCTGGTGAGCATCTCTTCGGTGAGATCCGGAAAGTCAAAGTGGTAAGGGCATTATATGGGCCAGGCGGTATAGTCGATGCTGCCACCGTCTGGTTCTCCAGGTATTTTCTCCATTTCTTTTATCCTTTGACTACAGCAAACATTGTGTTGGCAACTTCCATGTGCGGATTGAAATCTCATAAGTGAAGGTATACTATCCATTGCGTCTGTACTTTCCCTAGCAAAACCAGAAAACTTTGAAGCAAGTGATAGAGGACTTACCGAGGCAAATGCGTGTTTGCCATCTACTTGGCAAAATACCTGGCAGATCTGGCCTGTCCGCTGCTTCGTGCTTGCTCGATGGGGGCGGTATCTCCATGTACCCTTTCTGGCCGCGGGCCACGAAGCCGGGGCCGAACCGTCGCGACGACAAAGCGCTTGGGTCCAAACAGGATCTATACGGAAGCCCAAAGGAAGGACACCTTCATGGGTGACGTCGCAACCGGCTCCTTGTGAGGTTATGATATTGCCCAACAAAATGCGATCCGCAACGGTCCGCAACTATCCAAGCTGCGTTTCGCACTCTCCGAAGGTGTACACGGGATGAGCTCGATATCCAAACCTCAGCGGATATCACCGCAGTGTGTCGTGCCTTGGGACCCTTTTGGTTGGTTCGAAAGGCAAACCAAACGGAAACCTATGATTGTTGAGGGTCCCGCCCCGCACCAATGTTAAGACCAACCCATACCGGTCGGCACAAAATCATCTCAAGGCGCTGCAAAGATGAGACTGACCTGGGTGCTTGCTAGTCTCCTTCTTGCACATTGGGCTAACTGGGTGTCAAAGAGCGGTTTGAGACAAAAACTAAAAAACACATCTTTATGTGGTTGCCAAAAAGAAAAACATCTTATTTGGTTGCCATTGCAGAAGCTATCTGCAAAAAAAGTTGCCCTTTTGGTATTCTTACTCTCCATGGGCCATTTTGAACCCATGTGTTCAACAGTGACGTCGCAGTGGGGCCAAGAAGCAGCGGCCATGTTGGGAGAGTTGGGGATTGGTGCGGTTAAAGTGCAACCGACTCAATATCCGCGCGTACATGGTTCCGTATCCCGGGTGTATGTGCATTTACTTTGTTGCCAAGCATTCAACTATTTCAGTTTGTCAAACATAATTAGTTCAATTGTTTGATCACATGCTTCAGTTATTGCGCGGTTTTATGCATAAACTGACAAGTGTTCATATGTGCATCGCTGTGAACACATTCATGTTTGAGGTTTGCGAGCAAACTTGTCCAGCAAGGATTCAACAATTTAACGAACAAACTATGTGTACTTTACACCTAGGCATACTCACTTGTAGTATCGCATTCAACTAGCTATGTCATGTGTCATGACATAGACATAGTATAATTTAATGTATAGTTCCAAGCTACATTGTGTAAGAAGACCATGCTCAACTTCAGTTCTTGTACCAGTGATTTGGCTCAAGGGGCAGGTGCATTTTTGCTGACTTGACAGAATGAATGAATGAATGAATGAATGAATGAATGAATGAATGAATGAATGAATGAATGAATGAATGAATGAATGAATGAATGAATGAATGAATGAATCAACGAATGAATCAACGAATGAATGCATGAATGCATGAATGCATGCAACTTCCATTGAGGTAAATTGCCAAGTGAAATTCAAAGCGGATGGCTTCTCCAAACTGACCGATGCCGGGAAAACAGGATGTGCCATGCGAGCGTTGAGATTCAGAAGCCGCTTGCTCACAGGAACCGCCTTTTAACCCCAGACTGCCGACTGACCAAAAAGACGTTGGGGGGCTCCCTGCATGAGTGCACAAAACCCTCTTTGTGGGGTCGAGCAAGAATGGAACAGTCAAAATAAGTTGGGGGGCTCCCTGCAAGAGTGGAAAAAAAACCGCTTTGGGGGGTCGAACTTGAGTTGCAAGAACGGCATGGCAAGGAAAGACGCTCCAATCGTCGAGCCGCTGCAGGCAGTACTTGATGAATCCCTTCTTGCTCGACAGGACGCACACGTCCTGATCAGAAGCCATAGGTTGCGCCCTCTCTTTTTATAACAAAGTGGATTCCGAAATAGTCCAAGCCAGGGGTGACCCTAAATTTACAAGCTGGATCCTGAGTAGGGTGACCCTAAATTTCATAACACGTTTGTCCAAACCGGCTTCTGATACACACGTGTTTGTTGGGTGGGTGATTCCGACATCGGCTGACTCACACATGTTTCTCCAAACCGGTGCTTGGCTAAAACCCCATAAAACTCCAATCTTCCCTTATCGCAAGCAAAAGTCAGAGCCAATGGTCCTTTTGTCCATGCGTACCTAGAGATATCCTGACCCTGCCGTGCGTTTTTCTCACCCAAGCATGAGAGACCCTCCCAACAAAGAAATGGTGGCTTTCCCTTGTCGTTCAAGCCAACCAGATCCCCGGTATCGGGTGGAGCCAAACAAACAAAAAGCGTGGGCTTTCCATGAAACCTTGCCCACAGCATGCCCTCGACTTGGCAAAAACAACAAAGAAAATGCAGAGATGCTGTGATTCCAGGGGGGGTTGGAGTGCGCCACAGTGCTTCAGCCTGCTGCCCTGAAGATTTCATCGGGCCACCACGCCGCAAGGAAAGTCACGACCAATCCACACTTCTTGCCCAAAGGACTTAGCAATAAAAAAGGTGATCACCTTTTGCGGCTATGCGTAAAAATGGTTGCCGAAAGGGGGGAAACCAAAAGGTCAAAAGGTCGGCCTTGGGCAAATGAGTACGGCAGGATCGGGCTGATTTAATTTGAAGAACCGTCTGACTGGTGCAAGTAAGTCAAACGCAAGCCAATACAATCATAGGTTGGAAGAGCCAGCTCTGGGGGTTTCAGGGCAGGCGGAGCCAGCCCCGGGCGGTGTAGGCAGGCGAGGGGTGTATGAGGGCAAAAGGAGAGCTGTGGGGGTTCCAGCCAACTCCGAGGTCCCAGGCAGCTCCGGGCGTCTTGGGGTCCCAGGCCAGGCAGCCGGAGCCAGCTCCCCAACCCACAGCTGGCTCTGGGGGTCCCAGGTGTCGGGCGCAGCCAGCTCCGGGGTCCCAGGGCAGAGGGGCGGGCGTCTTGGGAGTCCAGGCCAGGCGGAGCCCGCGTCTTTGGGGCGCAGGCGGAGCCAGGGGCGCAGCCAGCTCAGGGGGCCCCGCGTCTTGGCGGAGCGCGAGGCGCAGCCAGCTCACGAGGTCCCACGGGGGCCAGCTCTGGGGTCCCCAGGGCAGAGCCAGCTCCCAGCTCAGGGGGTCCCAGGGCAAGCAGCTCCGTGCTCCAGGCGTCTTGAGGGTTCAGGGGTCTCCGGCTTGGCGGAGCGCAGGCGCAGCCAGCTCACGGGGTCCCAGGGCCTCCGGGGGTCACAGGGGCAGCTCCGCCCAAGACGCACCCTGAGACCCCAGAGCTGGCTCTCCCCGGAGCTGGGACCTGCAAGAAGCCCTGCAACACCCGGGACCCCCTGAGCTGGCAGGCATCCGCCTGGCCTCGGACTTCCCCGGAGCTGGGAGCTGCCCTGGGAACCCATGAGCTGGCTGCGCCTGCCTTGGGCTCCGGGCTCCGGCCCGAGGCAGGCGCAGCCAGCTCAGGGTGTCCCAGGGTGCAGGGGGTTCGGGGGTCCCAGGGCAGCTCCGGGCGTCCCAGGCCAGGCGGAGGCAGCTCTGGGCGTCTTTGGCCAGCTCGGGGTCCCAGGGCAGGTGCAGCCAGCTTCGGGGTTGCAGGGCAGCTCCGGGCGTGTTCAAAGGAGAAGCTTGTCAGGAAAAAAGGGTGAGCTTCTGCTGAGAAAGAAGGTGATCAGTTGACTTATGCTGATGCCCCCCTCCCCCTTCTGCATTCAGCTGGGTTTTTTGCGGATGGATTGTGGACCCAAGCTAAAGCATGGTCTTCTTTAGGACAACTTGATGGCACTAAATGAACGTCGACACTATCTAAACGAGTGCCTTCTGTTAGGACTCAGAAAGCAACATCAAAAATGGCTTCCCAAATCGGTGTCCTTTACCAGCCAAACATTGTCCAGTGATTCCATGTCCCTGGTTTCGCAGGGAACTTCAATGGAAGTACCCTGTAAAACCACTTCGGAATGACGAATCCCACCCAGACACCCAGACACCCAGACACCCAGACACCCAGACACCCAGACACCCAGACACCCAAACACCCAGACACCCAGACACCCAGACACCCAGACACCCAGACACCCAGACACCCAGACACCCTCAAAATTCCAACTTAAAAGTGGGTTGCAACCCAACAACGTATGGCCCGGGTGAGGTTTCTTGGGGATAGTTTCAGGGTTAACGCAACTATTAATTAGGAGTGTGGACACTACCAAAACAACTCAAAAGGCCAAACAACACCTAAGGAACAACTACAACCAACACATCTCAAGCCACCCATCGAATCGAAGTCGCCTTGCCAAACTCGAAGGCCACGGCATCTAGGAAACCCCCCGGAATGAAGCAGACCTCATTCGCGCCGTTTCGCGTTTTGCGGGTTCGCGTTTCGCGGAGGAAAAGCGCAGCAAAAACGCGGTGCAGCTGTCAAGTCGCAGCCAACATGCAGGCAAAGGCAGGAAAAAGGCAGGCTTTGGAGGGGGGAATCGAAGACCTGCGTACATATGGTTTTGAAACAATTAAGTACAGCCAGTACTGTAGGGTTTCTTGCCAGGTTTTACCTGGAGGGTCTCGCCTAGTTGCCTAGCATGGCTTGCATGAAAGCACTGGGACGGGAACCATCTCTTTCTGGAATGACCATTCTTGGCGGGGCCCAACAAACAAAAAGCGCCAACGACAAATGGTGCCGTTTGGTGTCCGGGGATTGTCCAGCTGTCGAGTGAATGTAATTCATCTAGCGATTCGAGAACTCGAAACCCCGTCCTATCGGAGTTGTTTCTCGGTTGCTTTCTGCTCCTCTGCTAAAAGTTTCACTGTTTTATTGGTTTAATGGAAAACCCATAAGTTGGCAAAAAGTTAAAGTCCTAACATCCAAGCAAAATGCACCAAAGGAGCTTCTATGATGTTCTATGTATTTGGAGTTCATGCTTCTGCACATTCAGCAGCTGAAGGCCAGTTAAACACCTGGCAAGAAAATGCAGTCCTTGGTGACAGAGTGAGTCCTAACGCTCACATGAAGAGAAAGGAGGTTCAATGAAAAAGGCCGTCATTGTTAGATACGTATATTATATATGTATATGTATATATTATTATTATTATTATTATTATTATTATTATTATTATTATTATTATTATTACTATTATATATATATATATATATGTATATTATCATATATATATAATAAAAGTCGCCTTTATGTGTTTCCAACAAATCGGGGAACACTTTGTTGATTGTTTTTTTTTCAATTGCAAACCACACGGATGTGCCAATCATTTGTCTTTAGTGGTCGCTTACTCTTGAGCATCAACATGATGCGGCAATCGCATATTTGCCAGGCACGGCCATGCCTATGACAGAAATTCACAAGATGCCACCCCACACTCTGGCCAAGCCAAAACGTGCTCATTGCAATTGCAGCATGAAGTGCTCAGCTGTCACGACCAAGCTCCTCTGGCTCAAGTTGGCAGCTTTCTGGCGGTCAAACAGAAACAACACTGGCATGCGAGCTTGGAAGTATGCTCAAACTAGAAAATTGGGCCTTTTGTGATTTCCACGGGTGTGGGATTGTGCGTCGACCACCTCAACTTTCAACAAAAAAGCGGCCACGATGCTGTCAAGCGACATTCGTGCCCTGGGACATTTGCTTCTTGAAGTCTGGCAGGCTGCGACGCAATACGGAAACAACTTCTGCGTCAAACGATCCCGTGGCAATTGTTCCCCGTCTGATACTGTTTGCTGATTCGTGGGAAACCACACGTTCCAAAACTGTTCAAGGTCAAAGGTCACGCAAAATAGATAGGTGTGGTTGCACACAGGTCACACTGCCGCAAATTGTCGATTTTGGGCAGGTCGATTTGTCAATCCAAAGGTTAAAGGTCACACAACTCGAAATCATGGATTGCAGCAAAACAACTCATGCGAATTGCGGTTGATTCTTTGGTCATCGAGAAATGTCTAGAATTGATATATGACTCATATAATTCCACATGATTCTTCATCCGGACCCTTTGGGCATCATGTACATTTTGTGCCAGGTTTTGTTCCTTTGGTTTGCAGACGGTGGATTTTTTTTGGTCGCCCTTTGGTCTGGGTGTAATTGAAAGCCACATCCCAGAGGGGTTGCGCTTTGTTGGGAAAGGACGCTTCTCTTTGGCAAATGGCTATGCATTTCAATGGGGGACGCAATCAAAGGCTCATGCTGGGTTGATCTTCCCCTCTGGGCAAAAGGTCGATCACCTTTTGTAGGTTAATGCAAGCCCCATTTGTCCAAAAGGTCGGGGCACCTCGGTCACACCAAAGACACGGTAGGAGCCCGAGGAATACAACGAAAGTCAGTACACGACATCGCCAGCACTACCCCGAATCCGTCCTTCAGGAGCGCAGGCCTCGATAGAGCGATCCTTGGCACGGAGGATTGCCGGCGAAACGGCTTGGGTTCTGTTCTAGATAACGGTTTGCACGTGGCTTTTGTGGATTCATCCCCGGTGATCCTAAAAAACGACCAACAGGGGAAACAAGTGCTAGAACTGCGGATGGACAAACTTCACTTCCCACCAGTTGATAAGTGGCTTATCCCAGTTTTCATGTGTTGCGCCTTTCGTCCCCGTCGTCCCTTTCTCAACTGGTGCAGGATGTTGTGCATCCCATGCGTGTGTGTTTCTTTCTGCGGGTACCCTTGTTACCTTGGTCCAAAGAGAAGCTGTTTAGGGGTTGGCAAGGGAAATTAGACCACCATGGGTAAGGCTCCTCTGGAAATTATCTTGGCCATGACCCACAGGAGTTGTGAGCCTGGCACATTGCCAGACACTGCAAAAGTTCACATGCGCTGGGCTCTGTGAGTCTCTCCGAAATGGGCATAGACTGCTGGACATGTTCATCATACCGCACATGGGACTTTGTGTGCCCATGTCATTCCCTGAACTACTGTAGACAATGAGCATTGACCATGGCGAATGACCATGGCGAAAATATCGTGCTTCCAGGTAGCCTTTGAATCAGGGACACCAATTATGGTACAACCTGGTAAGGATCCTTGGTTACCTACCGCGGTGTCGCAACTTTTGTTTGCCCGGACACGTAAATTGGCCAACAGGGGTTTTACAGTACCTCCGCAAGGGATACCGTCGGCCCGGCCGACCAATTTAAACCCGATTCAAATACGTATTTGTTTGCGCTACTGTGTGACATGCCTCTTCTGGCTGAGTCCGGCAGAATCTTGCGCTGAATCTGGCTGAATCTGGCGGAATGTGGTCTGGCTGAATCAGCCTGGCCATTTAAACATCCGAACTTATGTTTCATACTACCTCCAGAGCCCATGAAGCCAATTTGAACAAATGTCTTGCACTACCTAGCCCCGAATCCCTGGCCCGGCCCCGTATGGAAACTGGCAGGCGATCGCTGGGTATTTGCGGATGTCACAAGCCCTGAATAGGTTGGCTTAACATGCTTCACTATGGAACCTCTTCAAAACCAATGCTCCGTCCTCAGGAAGTCAGGATCCAATGGTTTCTAGCTCCTGCTGTTGATACACCATTGTAGTTCATCCCCAAGACTTCATCCATCCCCGGTACAGGATTATGCGGCATAGTTGGGTGAAAGTACATGGGTAAGCTTGTCCTGGAATCTTAGAACTAAAAGGGTTCTCAACCACTCAACAAGCATGTTCCTCAACGCATGTTGAGGAACAGTGTTGAGAATTGGCCATTAAAAGCATTATTCAGAACTATATCGAAATGGTTAACTATATTAATGTACGTATGAAAAAGGTCTAGATTATTATGATATGGCACCATGGGATAAGGAGGTTGTTAAAGTGGTAGACACATGTTTAAAAGCAATTAAAACCGTCAAGAGCCATTTTTGGCTGGATTGTGGATTGTCCCTTACTTCCCAATTACCTGGGCGTTGATTGTGACCCAGCAGAGACACCGACTCATTCCCCCAAAAACAACACGGAAAGCTTCCGCCAGGCTTCGTCTGCCTTGTAGGCCTCGCTCATCAGCCGAAATCCGGGGTTGTTGTTCCTGCGCCCAGCGGGTTTCGGGCATCCACACATCGAGTTGCTTCGCTGCTTCCAACAGTCGGATATGACGGAAGTGGCTTCTTGTTGCGACACGCTCTCGAATATGCGAGTGCATTGTTTAAACCCAAAAGCCAATGACCCTCCTTTGCGTGGGGAGGAAAGGATGGACAAAATCCAGCAGTTGGCAGTTCCGGCTTTCATCCATGGCAAAATCAATATCCGTAAGAACATCACCATCATTGCTGAGGCCTGATTTCTATTTAGGGTTGGAGGGCCAGAGTCTCACTGGATGGATCCGCCAAGTGTGAACTTGTTTTCTTGTTGGATGCTCTTCCGGAGAGTGTAAAGTCCAAGAAGTCAGCGAGTTAGGGTGGGTTGTGGTTCACAGGTCCCTCTCTGAATCTTCAAAAAGACCACGTAAGCGAATGCGTGAAGGGGCTCTGTAGTTTGTTCAAACTACGCGGTGCAAGGTAGCTAAGTCACTTTGCGCCTGAAGTTACACTTGCCGCTGTCACCATTCCCAACGATGGTCGCCGTAGACCGAATCGAAATCGAACCGAATCGAACCGCGGAATCGGGGAGGCGGGTGATTCCTGGCCGGGCCCAAATCCACATAAACCTATAAGTAAGAAACTGTGGCATGCCTGGACAAGCCTCTTCTTTGCCTAGTCTGTTGACAAATTGGTAATTACAATGAAGAACAACGTATCTCAAATGTTTGCAACATCCAGGGCATACAGTCTCGTCGCCTTAGGTTGCGGTCGCAAAGGTAAACAACTCGAGTGGCAGCTCGGATGAAATCAGGATTGTAGGCGGTGTTGATGGTCAGGCCACCACAAAGACAGCCTCGGGCGGTAAAACGCCCCCTCGACCACCCCCGCCAATTCCTTGGATAAATATGCAACCCAAAACCGGGGACGGTCTGGTTTGGCGAATGTGGCCATGTCCCTGGCCGAGTTGGCGGTTGCAACCAACACAATCCTCGCCTTAGGTTGTTGTCGCAAAGGAAAGCGACCCGTGTGGCAGCACGGATGAAATCGGGATTGAAGGTGGTGTTGATGGTAAAGCCGGCGCACAGGCAGCCTCAGCAGAACTATCGCGTACTTTGCACACACACACACACACGCAAACGCCGTCCCTCTCATGGCTGTGTGCAGGGGGGAAGACCTCTGTTCCGTTGGCAGAAGCTTTCGGTTCCCTGCCTCTTTGAATCTAGTATGAAGTGGCTGCCTACTTTCCTTGTACATATCCCCATGCCGGCAAGGGCACATCTTTGACTGCAAAGGGCATTCACTGAGATGTTCCCTCACTGAACCTTGTCTTTGGAGGCCTTCGGCTTGTGTGCGGCCAAAACCCACAAAAGGCGGGCGCAAAACCAATGAGACCTATCCCACCGTCCCTTTCCCAAAAGCATCATGTGGGTTTGTCTCTTGTTTCCGGGACCCCAGTTTCCCTTTGATTTCCCTAACCACAAAAAGGGTACCCTTCAAGAAGACCTCATGATGCTTCCCTAACCCCGCCGCACACACACACACACACACACATGTACGTGCGCACGTGCGTTCTTTTTTGGTATCTTGGCTGATGTTCACGAAATTCCCTGAAAATATCCCTGGAAGTCAGAGAGCTGGCCTTGCCTACATGAATTTCAAGATTTCAAGCAGTCAAATGTGAACACAAAAGTAGCGACTCCCTCGTAAATGGCTTTGGGCACGGAAACAAAAAGGCACCCGAAAATACCCCTTTGCTCAAATGTCCATTTGACCAGTCGTACACTCAGGACCCCGTGCTGACTTGGCCTGCTCATAGCCACCTCAAGTTTGATCAATTGAGAGGGGATGTTCCGAAGAAAGTGAAGCGCAGGGAATGAAGAAGACAAACACCACCAGTTGAATCCTTGAAATACATTGAGGCTCACGTTTCGAAATATGACCAGGCGCTTTGATCATGTCAGAAACACCCCGACCTCACACCACCCAAAAGCCAGACACCGAAAAGCAGCGCAACCAGACTAGACCAGTTCCAAAGCACCTCGGACAAGAATCTAACAGAATGTAACACAGGGTCCCCTTTTACAGCCACGCTCGCGAATCTGCTTGCCTGCTTTGCTTCGAAAAACTTCCTGAGTGGCTTCTCACATATTATTCAGGGCTTTTCTGTTTGCAGTGCTAGGATCAAAAACGGGTTTGCTGGCAAGTCCTAAATCCCAGAACTTCCTCGGCCATTAAATAAATGTCCTTGGGACAACGGACATTTTTTGCTCGAGAAGGGACATTTTTTGTATCCACTATGGGGGGTTCAATTTCTTCGAGTGCTCTGATCAGGGCAAATTGACACGATAGACAAACCATAGACAAACCATAGACATACCGTAGACATATCATAGACCACAGGCAAACCATTCGGGAATACCATAGGCAAGAAAAAACCGCTCCGAAAAGTAAGGTGTAAGTCAGGGGTACTTAATTCCGCAGAAGGGGAAACACATAGCAAAATCAGGATATTCACATCAGGTTGAGTCGTAAAACCGAGATTTGTTGAGCTCGTTGCTCGTTGCTTGCGACCGAGAGGGACCGTGGACAAACCGTAGACAACCCGTAGAAAGTGCATTTTCTGCCGTAGAAAGTACATTTTCTGCCGTAGAACGGCCATTTATTGCCGTAGAAAAACATTTTGTGCACACCCCGTTTTTGCACCATTTTGGTGTCAATTCGCGGACGTGACTTCTCAGGACTTTGTTGCTCTTTTCTGGCTTGGCAATTGGGCAATCAAAGACTTGTGCGCCAAATATGCATGCGTGGATCGATGGATGTATGGTGGACCAGTACATGCATATATCAAATAAACAGTTCCCGAGCCGTGCTCCGTGGCTGACGTTGGCAAGTTTCTGCAGAAGGCAATGCGAAGCGCACGAAGCACTTTCAAGCTCGGCAAAGTGGGACTGTGCAGCCCGTTCCAGCTACTTTTAAGTGGGATTTTCTTGAAAATCATGATCCAATCAAATTTAAGCAAAAAAATAGCCTTTTCCCAGAAAATGTACTTTACCACCTCGGCCATTTATTTAATGTTCTTTGGAAGTCTAGGGAAATTGTCCCCTTTATATGTCCTTCAGGTGGTCCTTACAAGTCGTTCGTGGTTTGGGTGCCTTCTCCCTTGAACGAACATGCGTCGACATAGGGACCCCGCAACTAGCTAACATCCTCCGGGAAGAGCAGACGCCCTGAAGCTGCTGTCATGCGACTTTCAGGGCTGCTTGATCAGCCCTTTTAGCGACGCCGCGATCAAAATATGCCGCTCTCGCCATGTGCCAATTTCTGGCTTTTGCGGTAAATTGTCTTGTGCGTCCCGCCGCACTGAGAAGCCGAGAATGAGTCAACCGCCTGAAATACTGATCTCCCAGCTTTGGGCCCTGCGTCACCGCCATTTCCCTCCCCAATTCACCACAATTTACCACAGACCGAGGCGCCGTGGGGGTGAAAGCCCAGGAAGGACTTGTTGGGCCGAATGTCCTGTAACGCGCCTCGGAGGGCGGCCTCGGAGTAGAAGTCCTGCCAGGCTGAAACCAATGAAGGACATTTGGCGTAGGATAGGAAACCTTTGTATTGCCCTTTTGATCTCAGGGGAATTTGGCGTTATGGGATTTATTGCCGTTGTTCAATGGGATTTTGCTGAGTATGTCAAGAAAACAACAATAGGAAACCAAGCGGGGCCTTGGGAATCTCTGTCCAGTGCCACCTTCAGCTTCCCCCTTGATGGTTTGGAGCCTGGGGGTTTGGTGGAGGAGGGGTTTCCAATTTTACCGCCACCAAAACCAGGGGTTCAATTTGCCAAACCAACCCCAAACACCAACTAAGGGTTGCAACATGAGGTGGTTTCCTGTTGGCTTCCCGTTACACACCATAAAAAATGGGTAACCTCAAAAGACATACCAAAAAGACATAGCCCACGTCTTTCTTACCCTGGCTAAGGAGGGGTTCCCATTTACCCTCTACAAGAACCTTGGTTCAAATCCAAGCACCAACCCACACCAACCTGACGGGTTGCCCAATTGCTTTCCAATGTGGAAGCCCTGGACGAATCAACGAGCGTCAGAGGAGCGCTGACGGTTTAAGTGGCCCCAAGAACCTCACACACAAAGGACCAGCCATAAATCATAGGTGTGCTGTTGGCAAAAATGATGGGCTTCCCTGGCACCAAAATGAGTGGTTTTCCTTTTGGCTTCCTCCAAACACTTCCCCATACCCTCGAGGCCCTCTCCTTGGCCCAGGTGCTCACAAAGTGGAAGAGCCAAGGGATGCGCGGAATCTCGCCTGGGGCAGGCAAATGTCACGAAGAAAAATGAGAAAAATAACCACTTCTGTGCCTAGGTCCTAGGTCCTCCGGATTTGAGAGGTTCGAAAAAGGGTGCCCAATTGTCTTGCCGTAGTCTATTTTAGTAGGGGAACCTCCCGCAAAAAAATGGTAAAAGGGCACTACTGGGGGACCTAGGTACTCATTTGAAGCAACAAGTGGGGGCATACATATGCATAGAACTAATCTCTGGATGTATAGTTGTGTGCCGGGGCTTGTGGAGCGTGTTCAAAACTTTGAAGAAGTCAATTATTCTTGGTCGCTGCTCAAAGGTGGTTTGTTCTTTAATAAATGGATCTCATTATAAATGATTGGAACGCCCCGCAAATTGTTGGTGGTCATAAATACGAATGTAAACATCCACTAGAGGGTCTGTGGATAAAGTTCATGCCCATATGGGATAACCTCCAAGTTGAATGACTTCCCTTCGGCTTTCGTTTAATACTCCCCTCAAAACTGCTCGACGTAGACACTCATTTCCTTTTTTTGCCACCTCCCGGGAGTCGGAAAATGCTAGGCAGAAAGGATTTGGGCAAATTGGTTCATGAGCTCAGCACTTCTGCTTTTCAGCTTTAGAGTACTGTACTTTGTCCAGTTGGACCCGGACGAAGTGACATTCGCTGGGGCAAGGGTCATCAATGGTTCCTTTCTACATCTTCGAATTGCTTCGAATCTCGAGATTTTGCGCTGAAATTGTGTGGCAAGGCGCGTTTTTCGAAGGTCTTCCCTACTTTTCAGACTTTGGGGAGTAAAGCCTATGAGTCGCGGCCAGCAGAATACTTGAACTGAAATCATCGGTTCCTTTTCGGCGGTCTTTGGGAGGGCTCTAGTCCCGGAAGGTTACGTTCGCTGAGATGTGTCCATGCGTTACTCCAAATTGGGGACCTTCCCAAGTGCTCGTATTCCCGCTGAGAGCCGGGGCCGGGGTCCGCATTTTGAGACACGCCCATGTGCCAAGTTGAGTAGCTAGGTGGGTGAATGCAAGCGAGGCCAAACCTTAAGCATGGTGGTTGCTGCCAAATAAATTGCGAACCACAGAAACGTACCCGGTAAATCCAGCTAAACGTTTGGAAGCATGCTTGGAAGAATTTATGGCGGGATCTGCCATAAACTCCAGCTAAAAGTTGGGATCCAGCCTGTGTTGCGCTAAAATTGTCCAGCTTCAATGGCTCACAAGCCACTCGGGAAGGGCTGGTTGGCTTTGGTTTCCATAGCACTTCCGGCAAACGGGATCCCGATTCCAGGAAAGAACTGGCAATTGTCAGCAGGGAGGAGCACGATGCAACACAGCAAGGAGACTTCACCATGCAAGATATGGCTCCGGTGTCAATTTGGTTCTAGTCGTTTGTTAGTGCCATGCGTTTTGTTGCACAAGGGCACCTATGATGAAAGACGCTTTGTAACTTCGAAAGCTCTCCTTGCCACGCTGTGTCATGGCTTTCGTTGGATATCATTCCATTGTGGGCGATGTTGGTGCGTGACTCCAAAACCAACAAAATGGCATGAGTGGAATGCAACAAACTAAGCTGCAAAGCGCACTGTACAGATAAGAACTACAGCCGCTGTGCACTACCGGGTATATCCGCAAATGAGTTTGTCTCAAATAGGGGAACCCCCTAAAGGTCTGGTTTCCCTTTGGATTCGATTCAAAACCAACCAAAAGGGGAACCCCTCAAGAATTTTAAGACGCACCTCGTGTCACTTGCAATCCTTTTTTCGATGGAGTCGCCTCAAATCGCACATCTCTCATTTGCGAGACTCACTTCCCGAGTGGATGGCCCAAAAAAAGGTCCAAACTTTCAATTTAATTACCTCTAAAATGGCAACCAAACCCAGAAAAGTGCTAAAGTCCGAAACGGAACTTAGCAAGCGAGACCAAAAGGAGGTAGCACCAAACCAAACCACGGCCACATGAGGGTTGCTCAACCGGAGCATGTTGGACCCCGCCCCTGCAGCCAAAGGCCAAAAACCGGCCGGCCCGGCCCAGCCGGCCTTGGCGCGTCACCAGCCAGGTGAGGAAGGACGCCACCGCTGCAGCACCCATCGCCTGGGCTGGTTGGGTCAAAAGCCCTGGACCATGGGTGTGTGGTGTTTTCCTTTTTTGTTCTTCCTTGTTTTTTGTTTCCTTTTGTTTCTCTTTTTTGTTTCTTTTTGTTTGTTTGTTTTGTTTCCCGGACCCCTCAAAACCTTGGTTTGCCCAAAATCGTGCTTTTGTCATGGGTGTGGTTTTTCTTTTTGGCGGACCCCTCAAAATGCTGGACTTGGAAAAATTGTGTTTTCGTTAAAGGAAACTTTCAAGGTCGGACCCCCCCCAACTCAAAATGTTGGATTTGGCAAAAACTAGTGCTTTTTTCAGGATGCTTTCAAGGGTTGGACCCCCCTAAAATGTTGGTTCTCCTTTTTGGTCTGCTTTCAAACTCTTGGTTTCCCATTAAAACAAACCAACAAGGGCTGGTTGAAAGGGAAGCCAAAGGGAAAATCAACATGTGGTGCACGAGACAAACCCGACATCAAGTGGGATCCAAGCAGCTGCTAAAATGGTCTTTCGCGTTTTGAGCGCCGTGGTGAATGTTGACTGGGAATGATACACCCAGATTCATAGTGTGTGTGTGTGATAAGGTGTGTGTGTGTGTATGTGTGTTCCCTCTTATTAATCAGTCGTGGGTTCATTCAGCCTGGGTTAACGTTTACATGGAACCCCAAACAGGGGTTCGCCCAAGCTTGCTCTAAACAAATCGCATTTCTTGGCTTCCATGTTAATCTGTCGGGGAGATGCAGGACGCGCTCGCAAGTTGCGAGTGGAGTCAGCCGTGCAAGTTACTCATACCCTCTTGCCCACAGGTCTGGTTGAAAGTTCCATGACTCTCAAAGGTGGGTCATGTTGTCCCCCCCCCGCTTCCAGTTACACTTGTAGCAGGGTCTGGAAATCTGCAGGTCTTACATCTAGGTCCTCCGGTAGAGGGCTTAGAATAAGGGTACCCGATTTTCTTCCTGTAGTCTATTTTAGTCGGGGAACCCTCCCAACCAAAAAATCAATCAGTCGGGGAACCCTCCCAACCAAAAAAAGGGTTAAGAAGGGCACCTAGCTGGGGGACTCAATGTGCATGTGTCGCCTGGATGGCTGGCCTGGAGGCAATGGGTCTACCAGGCCCGCTCAGACGCAGTTCCAAGGATGTGCTGGGGTGAATTAGAATTCCCAACCCAAGCCAAAAACGGACAAACTCCTCCGAAAACTGCGGGTAAATCTATGTAAATCTCAAAGCTCCAGGTAGGCAGCTCAGATTTTGAATCTAAACTTCTGACATGGAATGCTTAAGTGGGGAACTCCCATCATGCCTTCTTTTCGGAATCGGAAGGGCCATCCCAACCGAATTCCGAGAGCTTTTATTAGGGTTGATCAATATTCCCGGCCCCCGGTTTTGACCATGAATAACTTTTCCCATTGGGCAAGCCGTATCTTTCTTTCGGACCTTTTGATCAACCCCCATGCATGTCCTTTCTTGGAGGATCCCTGTCAGGTTTTAGACGTGAATTCCACCAGGCTTGTTTTGCTTCTGTGGATGTTCAGCAATGTGCCATCGGCTGGTTTCAACAGCCTGTATTAGTATTACCCTGCACTTACTCCGTGCTTGATTCAGCCAACAAACACATATGACGTCACCAGGGTTAAAGTTCTGATTGATCATGCAGCGTTCCATCCTTCGCCGAGTGGCGCCAGCTCTCTTGGCCTTTGCGGCCACCAGCAGCGCGATGCCGCAGAAGACCTGAGAGCCAGCCGCGCGCCGTGCACCGCGAGGGCCGCGAGGCGAGGCCGACGGGAGCGGCAATGTCCGACGTGGGCGGGCTCGTCTTTCGTTTTGGGAGTTGGTACCCTTGTTTTATTTGGGGGTTGTACAGGGACACCAAAAGGAAAGCCACCCTTTTGAGGAGTTGGTACCTCTTTTTTTTTGGGGGGGGGGGGGGTGATGGGACGCCAAAAGGGAAAGCCATCATTTTGGGGGGTCCTTTTCCCCAAAAAAGACGCACCACGAGATCTTTGAAGGCTCTGGAGGGGTTTAAGAAACCAAGGGCAAGGACGGCGGTCCATCTGAACCTTGCCGGCCAACAACGCGCCCCAAGACCCGCAGGCACAGGCCACGACACATGTCCTATAGCAATAAGACTTACCTGATAGAAAACCGCAGAAATGTCGATACACCCGCCCAACACCAGGATTTCTTCCAACCAGTGAACATCCCAATCCCCACTAAACTAGACTAAAATCGGTGGTGCACCTACCCTAAAAATGGTACCATTGGTTTTGACCCACAGCCACATCTCGAGCATAAATATCGGCGGGGTCAATTAAAGGACTTACATCTACTTGCCATAGTTCGAGCCCTGTCATTCTAGCAGGTCAAATGATTCATCATGGGCGAGCTCGATTTACCCCTGACCTCGCTGTTCTTGATGCAATGGTACTGGTAATGAGTATCGCCGAGTATCGCCCTGACCTGCTGTGAATAAAGAACTAAACATGCTTGTTGAGTAGGCAAACAGTCATCCATTTCCTGCTCGTTTGCGATCCGTCCCTCAAAAGCACGCCTGAGCCCTCCAAATTCCAACTTGAAAATGGCTTTCTGCAACCCAGCCATGTATGGTTGGTGACTCCCTCATAATTCCACCCAAAAATGAGTTAGCACCTCATTTATATTTATTTTGGGGGTGAATTCCCATATATTCCCATGTTGTTATGGGTAGCCTCAGGGTCCCTCCGCCTTCCGCCCGCCTCCGCCCTTTCGACTCCCATGGCCAGGGCCCCGCGCCGCCCTCATCTTCCTGGGGCCCGCGACGAGGCCCAGCCCGACGCCTCGGAGGGAAACTGAGAGACGGACGCCGAGGCGGTGAATGGCTTTGTTTCAAGGGGAGTTCCTGTCAGAATAAAACATGTGTATGTGTATGTGTATGTGCAAGGGTATGTGTGTGTGTGTGTGTGCGCGTCCAATTTGGAAATGCAGGAAGTGCCAACAAAGCAGTTATAGTCCAAAGCTCCAACCAAATAACCATAAAGATGGCGTATGTGTCAAAATAGGGGGCCCAACCAAAATAATGGTATGGCTCCTTTTTTGGCGTTGGATTGAAACCATCCAACAAGAGTGTCTTCTGTTTGGCTTTGTGATTTATCTTGCATGTCAGATTTGGATAAGGTAAACTGAAGCAGAACTTTTGGCTTTAAGTTGTGGTAACCAACACTTGGTTTGCTTCGTTGGAATTTCAGGGGCTTTGGGAATGAACACTGTTGCATCTGTGAGACAAGGGGTAGTTTGGGAGAATTCCCTCATTTGCTGAGGTTCCATTTAAAACCCAACCCGAACAATATGGGTTGGGACTGGTGACATCCCACCTACACCATCACTGTTAAAATTATTCTCTGATAAAGGAATCGTTCAATGGATCGGTGAACCACAGACCTCTTAGTACTCCGGGATGTGCTTTAACATGTTGCTTAGCAACACAGATTCAGGACATAGTCCACCAACCAAATTTGTTGAGAAGCTTCCCTAACAGGTTGTCCAGCACCTAGCAGGTTGACGTGGGAGGGAGGGCTGGACAATGTGTTAGACATCAGAAAAGTAAAAAAACTATGACAAACCACCACTCGTAGAATCAACCGTTTCTGAAGTCCCTTACTTGGAACAAAGCGTGAACCTGGCAAAACAAACGATGCAGGGATCAAGTTTTGGGACAGACTGGAAACCACTCACAAATTGATGGGTGGGGTCAGCGTTCAAACAAACATGAAAGTCATCACCAGTTCATTTGTGCAGCGAGCGGGGAAAGTGAATGTATCGCCTGCAAAAGAGGGAAGACGAGCAAACACTCAGAGAACCTGGGTTAAGTTTACAGATAGGGGCCTTCATGGGCGGACATCGCTTTCCCCAAACCACATCTGGGTTGATGCTTTACACGTGCCGGTCAGAACAGAAGTTGAGCCACAATCACAAACTTTCCCAGTAGATCCCAGTTACCACTATAAGCCATGTTTCTTTGTTTCGTAAAGGCTGGTTCGCTTGGTTGCCTACTGTACAGGTAAATGGATCTACTGGCTTGGACTAAAGTGTTCTACCCACCAACACGTAAAGGGCTGCTTGCTGCACCTATCGTTTGGACTTTCCCGTACTTCATGTATCAGCTTCCCACCTATATACCCTCCACAGGGGGCTTAAAGCTCCAATCCAAGCCACCAATTCAGTGGCTCGATTCGCCAAAAGCTTTCAAGTTTGCAGGTCAACCGTCCCCCATGCCTGGCGTCCCTTAATGGATTCCCCCCAAAAAAATCCGTGAAAAAAAATCAAGGTAACTCCGAAACAAAGCGAACATTGGAATGGCCATTTTTCTGTGTTTAACAAAAACAAAAGCAAACACGTCCGGCCGTCCCATGTTTTGCTCCAACTCACTATGTTTGTTTTTGCGGCAACAACCAAAAGGGAGGGCAAGGTAACCAAAAGAAAACCAATCACAGCCAATGAACCCATTCGACGTGAATCCGACAAGGTAGCCAACCATAACATCTATAAGCTCCGCATTTACAATGCAACAGGGGCGAACCAAGTTTCAGAACATACCTATACAGTTGCCTTTTCAGTTGAGCCCCTGCGTAGATCCTAGCTTTTTCGGAACGAGCAGGTTAGATTGGCGGATAATCCCCAACCAAACACAAAACAAGGAAAAAACGTAATCACACATCCAGTGAACCGGTGTTTTGAAGAAACCTCGAGACTACGGCCATTTTTCCCCTTCGACTTTCTAGGTTGCACGAACCCATCTATGAGTTGGAATATTTTTTTTGGTTTGACCCTCTCTTTTTTTTTCGACTTCCCCTTGAACTTCCTTGGAGTATTACGGGTATGTGTAAGTTGGAACATCTGCGGAATCCTCTCTTTCTCTCCGATGTCTCCGAGGTCTGCTTCGACTTGGGGCACCTCTTCAACTTCCTTGGGCTGCCGGGCCCATGGTGGACAGAATCCCCGGCGCGCCCAAAGGGGCGCCCGCCGCCACCAGGCAACCGAAGAGCACTCCTGAACCGCCGCGAACCGAGCTTCGCGACGAAGGCGGGTGGTCGAAGGCTTGGGCTTAAAGGGAAAAACCGGGAAACCCGGGCATTTGGAGGTGAAAGGGAAACCAAGATAGGAAAATCCCGCCGTTTTGAGGTCTTTAAAGGGAAGCCCATGTAGAAAACCCCAGCCATTTTGAGGGGTCCCTCTATGGCTACCCAGAAAACACAGAAAGGTAAGCCAAAGCAAGGTGCTCAGAAGTATGAGGCATAAAGGTGAGCTGGCAGATTCGATCAGACTTGCTCACGTCTTTGGCCTGGCTTGGCTTGTAATTTATTTCATTACTTGGGTGCTGTGGATTCCCCAGCAAAAAACTTAACTTTTGGCAGGTTGAAAGGAACTATGAGGGGCGTCCAAAAAGTTAGAGTCTAAAGATCCAACCCGTTTGCAGTAATTAGAGATTACATAATGCATGTTTGGTTCTGTCCCCTATCTGGGGGTTGGACACTTGTGGACCTGGAAAGGGAACTTTGAATCTCCCTAAAGGACATATCCACGAGGGGGGTCTGAAAGTGCCAAGCCTGAGAGAGACTGAGACGAATGCGGACAGCAGTTGTACCAGAGCTTGAATTGGGTTACCGAGCGTGCCTTAAGCAAATCAGGAATTTCAAGGGGGTCAGGGGCCAGAGGTGTTTCCGGGTTAAGTCGGGTTTGGTGCAAAAGGGCTATGAACCGGCCTTGAGGGAAATCTAGTGGCATGGCAGGCCATCTTTACCTAAAGCGCACTTCTGACCGAAACACACAACAAAACATTGAGGTCCAAGAAGCCCAGAGACAAGGAAACTCCAAGGTAACATTCTGGGCTGAACACACTCACCACGGACCCGAAACTTCCCCAAAAAAGAAAACCAACAAAAACAAAAAACCAGGAAACTCCACGGCGTGGATGAAAAAACTGGGGCATTCTCTAGTAGACCCCTTGTCTAGCGGAGGAATGCACCGGTATGCCCCTATACCACCAGGTCTGGAAAACCAAACACTGGGCTCCAGCCATGGAGATCCCATGGAGATTCCTGGCGGAAGCACCCAGGCGGGGACGATCACGAGGTGCGCCAAGAGCCCGTAAAGGAAGGACTTGGCCTCGGCTCGGCTCGAAAAGGCGCGCCGAAGCGCGAGCCGAAACCAACGGTGTCCGCCCAAAGAAACCATGGAAATAAAGACAGGAACACGCGATGAATGGTACAAGCAAGCAAACCGACGAAAACAAGCAAGAAAGCAAGAAAGCAAGAAAGCAAGCAGGCAAGCAGGCAAGCAGGCAAGCAGGCAATCAGGCAAGCAGGCAAGCAAGCCAGCAAGCCAGCAAGCCAGCAAGCAAGCAGGCAAGCACGCAAAACAAGCACACAACCAACCAACCGGAACCAACCAACCAAACAACCAAACAAACAATCAACTATCCAAACTAACAAACAGGCGGACAGGCAGGCAGACAAACAAATTACACACACGCAAAAAGAAGAGGCTGGCAAACGGGTGGACGAACAACGCACAAACAGCTGAAGGTCGAAAGGTTGACAGTTGGTTGGGGTGGAGCCAGTTCCATGAAAGAATGACAATGATGTCAAAACACACCGTGCCTCGAGTTGTCCTAATCACGCAACGGCGTCGTCACTTGAATATCCGGACACTTAAACAGGCCAACAAGGATTTTATACTACCTCCCGCAAGGGTTACCAAGAAACCGCCGGCCAATCAATCCAAAGTTATCCGATTTCAATAGGTACCGTGCGATGAAAGGTGTCCTTCGGCCTGGCTGCATTCGGACATGTTCGGGCTGGAGGGCCAACCTCAAGAGCTGGAAAATGCTGGATAGACTCTCCACGACCCTCAAAAAATGGGGTGACCCCTTTCTTTTGGGTAATGACCAGTTTTGGAGGGTAATGGAGAGTCTAGGTGCAGGGCTGGAGGCTGCAAAGGCTGCTCTGCTTTCGCTTTTGGAGGAGGGTGGGCTGGAGGGCCCTTACACGAAAATTGGGCCGGCAATGCCCAACCAAGCTTGCAAGGCAGCAGTTCATAACTAATCATCCAATTGAACGCACCTGGACTCTCCATGACCCTTTAAAAATGGTTGGTCACTACCCAAAAGAAAGGGGTCACCCCATTTTTCAAGGGTCATGGACAGTCTCGGCAGATTCGCCTGAAGCGCAAAGTACCACAATTCCTCATAGCGGAAGCTCAGGACGCAGTGAATCAACATACTCTCCAACATAAACGAAATCCTGTACCGCCTGTGCCTCACAGCATACCTTCGCGCTCCCATCTTGGAACCGCGCGGATTATGAGGTTCAACCAGCCAATTCTAGCCGAGTGTTCCTCAACATGTCCAGCGCACTTCTGCCACCATCACGTGTCTCACCTTTCCCCCCCTCTCGCCATGCGACTCGCACATCCCCGCTGGCAGCTTTCGGTGCCAAGTGCTGCACGAGGCGGTGAATCCTGCGAAGTGACCATGAAGTCCAAACCCAGAAATGCATCCTGGAAGCTCCGGGAAAACGGCCCTGGGTTTGGACAATGAGGCAAAAACATCTGAATCTGCAAAGGGCCTTTGGCAACTGCACACATTTAAGCCACCTGGACCCTCAAACTACACGCAAAACAAATAATTTTCACCAACCATATCTCTTGGGGCTACAACCCATGTTTGAGTTGGAATTTTGAGGCTTCAGGCGTCATTGTGCAAATGGAACCGCCGCGTGAGCTGCTGCTCGTTGGTTGAGCTCATGGCGACGGGCCAACGCTAGTGGCCAAGGGTTGATGCTTGGCCAAGGGCGCCGGTCGCTGCAGATGCGGCGAAAGAATGAGAAACACAAAAAACGCAGTGCGCAAATATAAGGTACGGAAGTGACGTCCGAGACGCCGCCAATGTGACAAGGAGCCCTTTGCGGAGCTTCGGCACACTTCACAAGGGCTCAACTTCAAATGGAGCCGTTCGCGCGGGGAAAGGTCCCCGACCATCCTCGAACGAGCCCGCCGCTAAGGCCTTAGTTGCCCCGAACAATATTAAGGCTGAATGAATCCGTCGGGGGAGGGGTTGTTGTCGCAGGCCGCCCCCAAAAAATAGCTCCTGTGTACCTCGACAGCACCTGCTCCGCCTTGGCTGTACCGGCAGGATGTCTGGGTGTCTGGGTGTCGATGTCTGGCTCGGGCGCGATTCATGCACCGCTGAAAGGGGCAGGGTAGTAAGTGGTTGGTAAGCCTGGCGGTAACCCACCTAGGACACAAAAAAAACCGTGGTAAGTGGGCTACCGTGGAAATTACCCTCCCTTTAAGCACGGGTCTCAATTTTGAGAGCACCCAGATCAGGTCATAGCGGTGCAGCCTCGATGGATGAACACACACACACACACAAAAAAAAAGAGAACATGCTGAACTGCTTCAGTTCGCTCCATTTCGTGCCATTCGGAGTAATTACTAAGTCCCTTCCTTATTCATCAGAGGCCGGTTCCCCGTCTTTGGGGGACTCATCCGTCCCGCTGCGATTTGAACTTGGTGCCCGAGGAAGCTCTTCCAACGTGTCAAATAGGGTGTGGGGTTCCACGTCCGCGTGAATCCGCGCGGACTTCTGCGTCAGTCTAAATCCGGTGCCGATGGCTTGGACAGGGATCAGCCAAATGTCCAAAGCGCCAGTCTTTCCAAAAGGCTTAAACTGCAGGAACTCGGGAAGTCAGGAAGCGCAATCCTATGTGCAACATCTGAAATGTCCCCAGCCCTCCCGTGTCATAATGCCAAGATGTTGTGCCAATGAGATCCGAAAACTAATCTGCACACAGCAGTTCCGAAGCCCCACACATGGCGTGATGTCCCTTGTCGCACTTGAAAAGCTGGCCAACCAGGTTCTGAATTTGCACCCGCGATACCCACACTTGAACGACGCATACTCTGGATCCTCTTGGAGCCGGGTGACCTGACCATGTGTGGGAACCCACCAAACAAAATCCGGTGCTTCCAGAAAATCGCATCCATGGTGAAACCCAGCCTAGAGGCAACAAACCCGGGCTGCTTTTGATAGTGGTAGCTGGAAGTACTGCGCAAAAGGAAAAGGGACCAAGAGGGTGCCAGTGAACAACTGATGATTCACCTGGCCAGGTCCCATCCGATCAGCATGGATTGGTCCAAGCCACCGTGAGCCAGCGTGCTCTGCGCCGTCATTGCAAGGCCAGCGAAGAGACGTCGCAGGGCCCAAAGTGAAAACCCTCTAGGTCTATTGACATATCAGCGTTGGGGCAATCGGCTTGTGTCAGCCGTGCGTTCAGTTGAGCGAATGAATGTTGCGCTCATCGACCCGAAAGCCAAAACAAGTCTGCCTGGTATCCTGGCTCTGCCGCGCGGCGAGAGCTTAGAAACTATGCTTTGAGGACGGCCCCAGCAATACGGCCTTTTGCACTGTGAGAGGGCAAGTGCAAGGATCCCCTGCATTGCTTCCCTGCTGAGCAACATGGCAGCTTGGTGCAAGCACCCCTTTCAACGTCCGCGCTGTGATTGCCAAAGTGCAAACGCCTTAAAGCCTCAGCGCCCCGCCTCAAAGCCAAACGCCTGCAGCTCCAGAAATCCCAAGCCATGGAACTGGAGAGGTTATTCATTCTGAATGGGATATCTAGCTCAAGCTTTTCAATTACCGGCTGTGCTAAAGGGACACTTCCCCAAGGCCGCTTTCATCCTTCACTTTTGTGGGGCCGTTTGGACGGGGATTTCAACCCTCCACAAAAGCAGCCAACTTTGGGAGGCAACGCTCCTATCTTGCGAAGGGTTGAAATCAATAAATGCAACCAAGGTTCCCCCCCCCCCCCCCCGGATTCCTACGATCAGGGTCACTGAGACAGACAGTCTCGCAGCATGTTGGGCTCACTGCCTTTAGGACCTCCAGCTTGGATTTCCAAGTTAGCTTGCCCTTTTCTTAGTTGATTTTAAAAGAACCCACCCCTTAAGGGCAACCGGACATGCACCATTGGTCGACAAACATCTTTCGATTTCAGAACCTTAACAGTTTGCTGGGGAAAGAATAACTCATGAACCACGAAGGGGGTCTGTTGGAAGGGGGATTCATCCAGCATAAGCCCAGGATGAGGCCCAAATGTACTTTTATCACGGGTTTGATAAGCCATAGACACCCCCTCCCCTTACACCCCTTATATGGCCATGGGCCAAAATTAAGCAACCAGAAAACCGCGGATTTTAGTTCATGTTTCCATTTACCAGGTCGAATTTTGACCCGCAGCCATATAAAGGTTCCCTGAAACTTGGAGAACCCCCCACGCACCCCCGCCTGCTCGGCCCATGGCATAGATTTGGCGCCAACGGGCGGCAACCCGGTGCCTACTGTGGATGGACGAAATCCACTTCGCACCACCTAAGAAACCCTGGACTGGTTCGATTCCCCTGTAAATACCAACAAACAATGGTTTCAACCATGGTTTCAAAGTGGTGCGAAATGGATTTCGCAACCATCCACAGTATGGATTTATGTCACAATGGCGCGACGCCTTTTGACCATGGCCAAATTGAGCCAGAGTCAATATTCAGGGGAGGGGCAATTTTGATTATGATTTTTTGGACCCCAGCCAGGAGAGGATGACTGAAAATGTCCATAGTCATTGCCCAAAGGACCCAAAGGACCCAAATGAATAGGGTGATCACCTTTGGGGCCATGACTAAGAATGGTTGCCAGAAGGAGCAAGCCAAAAGGTAAAAAGGTCGGCTTCGGGCAAGTGAGATCGTATTTGGACACTTGAGCACTGTTTTTCCTAATGGTCATTTGGCGAGTGCGTCCAACGTCAGCCCCTTTACCAGGGTAATTGATACTAAGTAATCGCCTTTGCTGCCCCTGTGGATAGTAAGCAGTTGTAAGTAGTGCCCCCTGATGTTTTGTTGATTACTTGATTTTCCTGTTTAGCCGGCATGCTTTGGAGCCAACACGGCGCGGCCGCCACGCAACTTAGGATTCAAGTAGCGCGGTGCTTCCAGTTACCATTTAGTCGGTACACACAAACGACAATCGTGTCAAATCTCAGAGATAGAGAAAGACCTACTTCAGTGGCAACTGGAAGCAGCAGGTAGGGTAGACATCAATTCTTTGTAATTTCGATCGTTGAACATCAGCGGCGGCTTGCAAATCTGATGCAGGGTTTAGGACCCATTGAGGGTGAGGGACAAGGGATCGGTGCACAAACGCTGCTCAACTCTCTGAGTCTTGGCAGAATCAACAGAAACCACTTTGTTCAAGGCAGATAGCGTCCCCTTTTAGTGGGAATCGTGCAGTTCTCTTGCAAGCCCACCTGGGTGTGTCTTTCTCTATAAGAATCGGATGCCCAAAATGGTGCAACAAATGGCTACCGAGCCTCACAAACGGGCGAGGCTCGCCTTGGTTCATGGATACTCACCCTCAACCCTTCCTCAAGGCCGCTCCACAAAGAAGCCCTCTGCGTGACAAGAATCCAAACAACTCGTGTCAGTGGATAAGAAATACAAACGAAGCCAATTTGCTTGCTAAGGTCACATTCCTCACATTCATGTGAAGTCCGAAAACTGGAAAGAGAGCTGTTGTTGTTTTTGCCGGGCAAAGGCGCATTGGTCCGCCTGTCATCTGCGTTTGGCCATGCCACCAGTTTGGCCAAGTGCCACACACCTGCTTCACCAATCCCGCTCAACTTACCCTTGCCTTGCGGACTTGACATGGACAAATGAGTCCTACTCAAAATCGTTCGGAATTAAGATGTCTACCCAGAACCATTATAAGGATTTAACATGGCGGCTGTACACATTTACCCGTTTTTTTTTGTAAATGATACCATTCTGAGACTGGATCAAAAGGCCCCAAAGCAGCCGTTCAGGAAATCAAGGGAAACCACCATCTACAAACCCGATTTGGAAGTCCCTGGCAACCTACCAGCATCTGAGTCTCGGGGCAAGGTCTATTGAATGGTTCCGGGCAAAACCACAATTCAGCTGAAAATGCGGGGGGGCCTGCCAGGGGGATATTCATGGTTGATCACCTCCGGCCGTGAAAGATCGTCAGCCAGAAAGCAACAAATGCAAAGGGACCGTGCTAAAACCTGAAGCCAATGTCGCTTTCTGCCAAGGCACTTGGCATATCAAGAGGGTCCAAGGGCCGATTGCCAGGCTGATACAGTATCCAAAGTCAGGGGTTGCTTCTCTGCCAAGGGACCGAGAGCACGTTGGCGACACACACCGCAAACATGCGACTCGTCAAACCAAAAACTTGCCGCTTCTCAGCAGGGAATGAGGGAATGACCCCCATAAACCATCCCTTGAGGTTCTCTTAAAGGGAAATCCCCTTGCAACCCGGTCATTCCCTACCTACTGGTTCATTCTGCTCAAGTGAAGCAAACTGGGCATTGCCCGACAGATCATGTTGTTCCTAGCTGTGGGGGTGTTGATGCAGGCCTTGAACGACACGGACCTAAAAAACTGCACTAACTCAGATGCCAAGTGGCCAGGGAAAAAAAAGGGCATCCTTTTTCTGGTTGGTTGAGTTTAAAGGGAACCCTTCCAAAAAAAAAGAAGAAACAAGGGCACCACTGGGCAACTGGGCTAAAAAGGCCGCCCTTTGGCTCGGCAAGCCTCTACAAAGCTCCCAAGGACGCATAAACTCCGATACCAAGCTGGATCTGGCCCACAAGATGCGCCAGAAAGGGCACGCCGGATTTCCTTGGGTACGTTGGGCTCCCGCACGCACGGCGCACCTGGCGCCGCTTCGGTGGAGTCTGATCGAGTTTACAAGGCGGCTCCAGTGTCACAACCACAAGGGTCCAACAATCAAAGGGTTTGGCTACAGGAAAATCTGCAGGAAATGGCCCCAAAACACCCTAAATCAGCTGTTTTCCCGTAGAATCTCCTGTAACCCAACCCTTTGAAACAAGCACACCAAAAAGAGCCCAGCAAGCCCTGTGGTTCAAGGACACCCGACCCAACCCAAAGGCGGCTTTCAGGAGAGCCTGATCATCCGCAAGGAGTTGTACGCTTTTACGCCTGATCTCGTGAAGTATGTCATGACTGCAAGATCATGCTATTCTATTCTCTGATGAATTGTCCACGGGTCAAAACCCCGGTTAGCCCCCAGTGAACATCCCAATCCCAACTAACATAGGCTTCTAAAATGGGTGGTGCACCTACCCCAAAGTGGTACCATCGGGTTTTGACCCACAGACTGACAAATTGGAAACAAGGAATCCGGAGGAGACCTTGATGATCGCACGGCAAGCCCAATCGGTGAGATCCGAACAACACTGCCCATGGCACATCTTCGTGTCCAAGCTGGCCTGAACCGTATCCACCCCCTCCCCTTCGTGGACAAAAACCCGGGGCTGGCCCTACTATCTAACTTGACTTACCTGAGTTTGGATTGCGACTTCGGGCTTCAGGATTCGTTGCGAACCCAGGGCTCCCAAGCTTCCTTTGTTTTTATGATGGTTAAAACCACCCCTCCGTCCGGGGGAAATCTGGAGAACCCGGTGTATGCGCCCAAAAAATGAAAAATGAGGTTTTAGTCTTGGCTTCCCTTTAAGACCACCAGCTAGAAGTGAACCCAACCTTAGCATCTCGATGCTCGCCTGCTGGCTCGCGCAGACATGGGCTTCGCGAGATCCTCCTTGAAGGGAGCAAAGTCCTGGCGACTTTTTGGCTCAGTGGCCCCCTAAAGACTCGAAATCAAAAGCGCCAGCCTGGAGCCTCAACAATCCAACTGCAACATGTGAGTTTGCAACCCAAAACAACGGGTGCACTCCCCAATCTGTATCCTGTTGGAGGGTTCGGGATCACATTTTCTTCTGGGCCATGGATGAACAAGGGACAAGGGGACCACCAAAAGCTTAAAAGACATCGATTCGCTTTTTGGACAAGCGAGTTAGTATCCCTTTTAACAGGCAGCGCAAGAGGTGGCGCCAGGGCGCCCAAAACGGGCATTTGTTTTTGTTGACCTGGATATGTATCTCATGGGCGAGCCCACAAAGCGGTGAATGGTCCCTTGGATTTCCTCAAGACGAACCGTATTAGGCAGGGCACCCAGAAATACTTTGATCCAATCGGTGTGTTTGCGTTTGTGTATGTGCATGGCGGCGCTTTGGTCAGCGCAGCATGTTACCACCAACTGGGGTTTCTAAAAGTAGTGGACCCCTGCGGTGGTTTTAAAGGGACCCCCCTCTCCCCCCCCCCACAAAAAAAAAAAAACAACAACAACACTGAAACAAAAACAGCTCGCCTATTTCTAGAAATATCCATCGGTTCTGTATGCATTTGCGGTGAAGCCAGACTTGGGTATCAGCTTGAAATGCGCCGCGGGGTGATTCCCGGTGCGTTTACACCATCGGCCTTCTCAAAAACCAGCTGCTTTCCCTGCCTGTTTGATGGCAAAAAGGGAGCCCTGAAATGAATGGCGAAGATAATGTCCTTTGGATCTCCCAAATTCAGCTACCACCAAAGGGCCACTTCACTGCGTCTCGCGTGCGAAGAATCGCATCGACCACAAGCGCACCACTTCCGGTCCCATTTCCGCAGCAGCTGAGCTCCAGAATGTCCCGATCCCGCCATAAAGGGCAAAGGATGCAGCAGGCGTTCACTTTGGTCAATTTGTTTTCGGCTCGGAGCGTAGTGTTACCACTTTTCGACTGGGGTTTGAGGGTGAGAGCATGCCGTAGCCTAGGCCTCTGACAAGCAGCTTTTGCAGTTTCCTCATGTACCTGGAACCTCAAACTAACCATACAAATTGGGCATTCACGGCATTCACCAACCATAATGTTGAGCAATAACCCTTTTTTTTCAAGTCGGAACTTTGAGGGTTCCAGGTAGGCATCTTTCCTCTATGTTGCTTGCTGTGGTCTTACCCTGGCTGGATGGCAAGGTCAAATGTCGAAGTCTACCTTCGCTTCGCGAACTGGAACCTGGCCATAACCAGACTTGCCATGTGGCTATCGAGCCAAGCGGAAGCAGCACGGGAAGCGAGCAGACAAGTTCCGTTCCCAATTCGCGTGGTGGTTCTTTGGCACTTCAATCGTCTTTGCGCAAGAGCCTGGGCGACAAACAACATGTCTGGAAGAATTAACAACATGGGTGTGTCCCCTTTTTTTCTGACTGCACACACGTTTGCCTACGTCTTGATTTATCTTTATGCAGTTCTGCAAGTTCAATGAACCCCAAGTCTGCAATGTGTACTATGGTCAGTGGTCACCACCTCCAGTGGCTTCCCCTTCCAAACGGGAAGGTCACAAACCCACGAGAGGCAAAATCAGTTGGACTCTATCAAGTGGCAACGGTATTATCTGGGTGTGCATTTCTAGTGCACCCAAAAAGCCCAAAAAAACACATCAAGCGCCGGGTCAAGCTGGGAGGTGTCAAATTAATGGCCCAATGAGCTCAACAGCGCAACATTTGAAAAGGTGCACGTCGTTCCTCGCTTGCCATTTTCTGGGAACGCACATATGTTAGTTCAATCCTCCATAGCCTTACCAACATGGCGCCAATCAAGTGTCCATTAGGATGTAGTCTGCAATATGTATTGGCCAGTCTTTGGTGGACGTCAAACAAAAATAGGCATGTTTGTCTACCAGGATGTTCTGGCCATTGCAACTCATAGTCATTTGCATGTTGCCCAGAATAGGGAGGACCCTTAAAACTTGAATTGTCGGTGCCTTTAATCAGTGCCTTCAAACAAAGGCACTGAATCTAAGAAATTCAATATGGATCGAATCTGCATTCCGTTTGCTCAGAACGGGAGCAAGTTGGCAGGGGGGGTGCCGGAAGAATCAGAAAGTGACCGGTCCTCTTAAACGATCGTGCTCCCAAAATGAACAAGCCCCACCAATTGTTGCGCCGCGAGAAAACAAACTGCGAGGAAGCAACATAGAATCTATGTGTCAACTGCGTATATATATATATATATACATATATATATATATGCCAACTATGTGTCCAACTTTGCCCGTGCGCAAAAACATTTAGTATGCATACATATATATATACATATATATATATATATACATACATATGTATATATATATACATAACACATATATATATATATATGTATGTATATATGTATATTAGATATATATATATATATATGTATATGTATGTGTATATATATAGTATACATATATACTATTCCACATGATAGCTCAGCAACTGGACATTCTACAGGACACCGTTCGGCCCTTTTTGAACTGCTGAAACTAGGAGTGTAAAGCCCGTTCCTTAACACGGGCACAGATTGTCAACTACCTTCAGAGGCTCCTAAAAGAGCAAACACTCTCAATATCAGGAGCTACAACTTATGTGTGGATAACAAAGTTAACCATGGGGTTGAACAAGTAGGAAACAAGCACTGCCATGTGCATTGAAGCAACCTGATTCTCGTCCGTCAAGTATAAGGAAACACACACAACAAGCTTGAGGAGCCAGTAGTGCTAGATTCCCTGACAAAAAGAAAACGAAAGGACAATTGAACCTCTTCATTTCAGCAAATGAGTCTTGATCAAAACCCGGTAGTGAAATGGTCTATACCCAGAAACATGCAACGAATTAAGAAGGCGGATATCCGCAACTATTTCTGGGACTGACCTTTCTCTACCAGAATCGGTTTTGAGCACGTGGCTCAGAATTCACCGAAAACCCAACCAAAATGGGATCTCAAAACGATTTTGATTGTGACCCGCATGCAGAAACTTATACCCACATGCAGAAATGATATGGCTGTGGCTCAAAAACAACCGTAACCAAAATGGGACCAGGGTAAGTGAAAGAGCCAAATGGAAGAGCACAGGCCCTGAGGAGCTGGTGGCACCTCCACTGCCGGGTTGATGGCATAGCGCCGCAGCATCTCCGGGCCGTCGCCCACCTGCCGACCCCGTTTTTCATCAACCCCAATTGACTCATACTGTGAATGGACGAAATCCACTTCGCACTTCTTTGAAACCATGGCTGCGGGGATATTGTTTGTTGGTATTTACAGGGAATCATCATTCCAGGGTGTCCTAGGTGGTAACCCTGGGATGCTCCAAAAGTGGTCTGATTCCCCACTAAACCCTATGAATAAACTGGGGTTGATTAAAATGGGGTCAACCTATTTTTGTCTGACGCCCACCAAAGACATACTGTGGATGGACGAAATCCATTTCGCACCGCCCAAGAAACCCTGGGATGACGATTCTCAAGGAAATACCAACAAACAAGTGGTTTCAAAGTGGTGCGAAATGGATTTCGTCCATCCACATTAGGGGGCGTCCCCCTCCAAAACTTAGTTGACGTTGAAGGGGGAGCAAGCATTCTTCAATTTTGGCAGTTAAGTGGGGATTTCCCACTAAACCACAATAAGCAAAAATGAAAAATGTTTCCCAAAAAGTGGTTCGAAACCCTACTAAACCCAGGGAGAAGCACCCGCCTATGATTAAACTGGGGTCAACATGACCCCACAAACAGGTTGGAATTCGTTGCAATGGCCCATATTAACGGGCATAAAAGGGGAATTCGGAGCTCGCCATTCGCCGCCGACGGGAGCAACCGTTCGACCCAACCCACATGGCGCCAAATGATACTAGCCAAGGGAGTGCCAAATTGTCACGACGTGGACCGCCCAAGGGAATAACACTTGCAGGACCCTATCCACGTGGCAGTGGAACCAAAACACTACTTTCACAGCCCGCGCTCGACCCTACCCAAATGACACAAACTGAGATTTTGTTTCATTCAAGGGTACACGCGGCGCCGAATGACTAGGTTCCCCGAATGACAAGGGAACATCCGCGCGATCCAATCCAAATATGCCAAGAAACATGATGATGCAATCAGTCCACACTTCTAACCAGACCCAGTAGATCCTATAATTGCCACTATTGTGGGAAACCATCCGATCTCAATGTGCTAAAAACGGGGTTCCATTCATTGGTTGCCTTCGAAACTAATGGAATCCCTTGCATTGCAGAAAACCGGCAGCAAAACATAAGGCGCACCACACGCCACGGTTGCGACCCGAAAAGTGGATTCGAAATCAAGGCACAGGTCATCTCTGACTCAGCGCGCGTCACCTGCGACCCGGCCTCATTTGAAGCGTGGGTCACAAACGAAATGCTTTAGGGGCACAAAGGCTTGGCAGGTGTCGCAGAAAAGGGATGGTCACTTTTGCTGCTTTGCTTTTGGAGCTTGCCTTAGCCAGGAGCCAGGACCATGAAAACCGCACATTCCACTGTAGATCGTGAAATACGCAGCAACCTTGGTGTTGGTTGTAAACCCAAACCCTGCAGCTGTTCTCCCAAGACAGACCTCTGACTATTGATGGAACCAACCCAGCGGATCCCTGGCAAGTGGCAACCCTTCGATCCATAATTTACCTGTACCCAGGAGTCACCCCGGGCCGAGAGACTGGAAAAGAAAAGAAGCGGCAGCGTCGAGCCCCACTTTTCATGTGGGTCCGCATTCGCACCAAAAGGGACGAGCCGCCAAGATGTCTCCCCATCCCGAAGCTTGGCCTTCACCGGACGCAGCTGCTCCAGCATCCTGCGAGGTCGAAATGCGGACTGCTCGGCGTATCATTTGCAGAGCTTCCTGGAAAGAATACAGTAGTGACTGATTCCCTCTAAAACTAAATTGGGGGCAACAACAAACATTAAGAACACGGAAGGTGTGCAAGTTGCAAGTTGCAAGCCCAAACCAGCACCCCCCGGTGCTGGTTTTTCGGTTTTGGGTTCAGAAAAACTCCTTTGGCCAGCGAGCAAAAAACACAAATTTGCCCACCTTGATTGAATTGGGGGCAATAACAAGGGAAAGCGCCTAGTTTTACACAGCAATGCCAAAAAGTACTTGTTTTCTCACAAAGCCATGGGGAAAATTGGGTGCCCAGTTTTTCCTCACCAGGACGTGAAAACACAAATCCGTGCCCCAGCCTTTTTTGGGGGCAGTTCGTTGAATGGTCCCCCACTTCTACTCCTTACCAACTGCACCACAAGCAGTGTGAATCATTGATTGGGTTTGGGGTCCAACGTGCAGATCAAATATTCCTGTCCTGGACAAATACATGGAGTTGGAAGCGGCTAGGGTTGGCTCAACGGAAACCAAACGGACATCGGAGCTCTGGATACCCTTTTTGAAGCTGTTTAAGGTGAAAGCCATCAACCGATTTGAGGGTTCCAACCTAGCTTGACGCAAGTCACTCTGGCTCCAAAACCCTCTGATAGGGTCAAAAGCCCTCCCCAGTTGTTCAGCTATATTACAAAAAGGCAACCCTTTTAAGGGGTTGACCATTTTAACTGGGCTGTCCTCAAATACTTTGCTAACATTGAATAACTTCTAGTGGGTTGGGATGGCTGGGAACCAGCATTTTAAGTGGGTCTCAAACAAACCGCAAACCAAAACAGGACTTGGGTGAATTGTGTTATAACAAGAAGGCAACCCTTGGGGGTTGGCCATCCCAAACAAACCCAAGCCAAACAGCCAAGGATTGTAGAACAAACCATGCCTGCCCAGTTCAGAATTGCAGTATTACAAGAAGGCAACCGCAAATTCACCTTTTCCCGCGGTCCCCGCAAACCAAAAAGCCAACCTAGAGTCTCCATGACCCTTAAAAAATGGTTGGTCATTACCCAAAATAAAGGGATCACGTACCCATTTTTAAAGGGTCAGAAGGAGAGTCCAGGAAGGACTTCTTTGGTTACGAGTCCCGGCACTCGCGACCTGGGCCGCGGCCGCACCTCATGGACTTCTCCGTCGACGAGCGCTTCGTCGTGTCGCTCTCCCTGTCAGGCGAGCGACCGCCGGCCCAATTTTTTAGCCTTTCTTTTAACCGGCTCACGAGATTCAGGTGGAATTCAGGGGAAGGTTTAAACATCTCCCACTTTTTGATGAGCCGATATTCCTTTAACATCTCACCTTCCTTTTAACAGGCTCCCTTAAACATCACACGAGGAAACTCGTCTAAAAGTGGCAGGGAGATGTTTCAACGGGCTGAGGGACTTGTCTTCCTGGACCTCGAAAGTCCCAAAATTGTGGTGGGTGACTTCGCTTTGTTGTTGTAGTTTGAGCGTCCATGTCCACGTTGCGGCAAATTCCAACTTAAGTGGGTGACTGCAACCCAAGCTTTTCTTGCGTGTGAAGTCCCTTTTTCTAGGGGTAGTTCTTTCGGGTCCAGGTCCGAATCGCATGTGCGATGGTTGTAAGGTGTGTCTTTTCTTTTAGGGGACCTCGCAAATCGCCCAAAGTTCCAACCATGGCTATAAAAGGACTGATCTGATCCAGTATCACGTCGGTCCCAGACTGACTATAGACTATATTCAAAATTGGGTCGATACTGTGGATGTACGAAATCCTGCACCACCCAAGAAACCCTGGATGGTGATTCCCCAGTAAGTACGAACAAACAATGAATTTCCCTGGTTTCAAAGTGGTGCGAAATGGAATTTGCAACCATCCACAACATCACTTGGAAACCAACACAAAAAAAAAAAAAAAAAACGAAAAAAAAAAGTGACTAGCTGCCTTCCCGGGCTCAGAAAGCTTGTGGATTGATGAATGGGGATTGTTTCCCTAAAGGGCGGACTGGTGAACGCTGCTTTCTATTTTCCACAGATCAACTTTCCCAGCCGTGGGAACACAGGGCAATTTTTCTTGGGTGGTTAGAATTAGCGGAAACCGCTCCAATCCTCCACAAAGAAAAGGAAGAGGCCCCACTGGAGGTCTGGATCATAAAGCCAAAGCGGAACAAGAATGCTGAGGCTGCGGCCCGTTGAGCGCGTCTAAACTTGAAAAGCAGTCCCTCACCTCGCGCGCGAGTCGCGAGTCGAGCGTGTGTCGCGAGGGGTTGGTTGGGCCTCGACATCGTGAGCGAGCTTCAGGCGGGGAGTCACAGGTGAGTCGGCACCCGTCCAAGTTTCTGGTCGCTTCTGAGGGAAAATGAAACTCTGGAAAGTCCGTTTGGAACATATAGATGGGTGTCCCATGACAAATGGATGGCATAAAACCAATGCAAACCACTGGAAGTCATCTATTTCAAATGATGCCCCAACTGTGGATTCCAATTCTTGCACTCGTTTGGCACTCTCTGACACTTGCTTAGCACTGTTCAAGAGGGATGCACCAGTCGGGCATCACAAGCATAGAGCATTCATGAATCATTCCGGACCGGATTGGCCAAAGCAAGTCCAAATTGTGTGTTGCCATCCAAGCTTTGTGTTACCACGCGATCTTCCCAAAGAGCTCGCCAAACGTATAACGTCCCGGAACTTGGGTCATGAGTATATTCCTGTGGGCTGCGCAAAAGACGGTGCGTAGAGAAATTTCCTTCTGGCAAAGACTCATTGCGCTTCGCAGTTTTCTGAAGGGCATAGTTCACTATGTTGAACTTGTCGCCCTACCCTGAAATGAGGAAGTTGTTGGTGGTGCTCACGAGTGCGAGCCAGGTCTCATCAGCAAACCAGCACCCAGCATGAAAGAGACCCTCTGGCGGGTTTAATACCACTCTGCACACAATCGACATGCCTACGCAATACCAACTTTGATGTCTGGGGCCAGGCTAGTAGCATAGAAAGTACCATATTGGGATCCATATCCATCCCCTTGACTACGGTATCACTAAGGGGATCCCCTCGGTACAAAAAGATCCCCAAACCCAGTTTCCCGCAGAAGCGAAGGGATTTGCTGTAGCCGCTCATCCTAAGATTTGCTTGCAATGGGCAGAAGGGTAGAACAAACGTGGTTTGGTCCTCTCATTCCCTGCTGAGACCCAGCAAGCAAACCCTTTCAACAACTTCCATTTGCAATAGAGCCCCCTGCAAACAAATGTCCAGCAATGCTAGATTCCCTTCAAAACCAATGATATGTGGTTCTGTCAACACAAAAACAAACAAAAACAACCTCTTAAGCAAACAAAGGACAAGGACACAAGTTTTTTTGTTTCAAGAAACCAAAACAAACAACACGTATCTTAAGCAAACAGAGGACAAGGACACAAGCAACTTGTTTGCTGAAAAACAAAAAAACATATCTTAAGCAAACAGAGGACAAGAAAACATATCTTAAGCAAACAGAGGACAAGGATGCGTTTTAAAGTTCAAAAACCAAATCAACACAAACCAAAAAGAAGTCTTAAGCAAACAGAGGACACAAGGGACCCGTGCAACTCAGACCCCGGCCACAGATGGCAGAATCCCTGCCGTTTCTCCATCCGCCAAGCCTCAGCAGACATTTGCCGCTGGCTACGTCGGCGAAGGCGAGGCCGGGCGGCTCGCGTGTGGAGGGGAACCGGTTTTGGTTGGCTTTAAAGGGAAACCACCAGGAATACCACCCATTCCTTTGTTTTTTTGGGGGGGTGACCGGGTCGCCCCTAATTTAAGACAACTTAGTAGGTGATTCGGAATCATCTACTACAGTGATTCCCCATTCAACTGTGGTTTTTTTCAAGGATCCAAGAGGAAAGAATGGGGAGTCACTTAGAAAGGCGGCGGGAAACGGGAGGACTCCGCAGTTCTTAGGCTTCCACCATCAAGATTCATTTTGCCCCCCAAACATGGCATGTTTTGCGAACCCCATTTTTTAATTGGAACTTTCGAGTCGCCTGTCACTTTGTTCATGCCTGAACTTGTGGAACCCTCCTGGGTGGGATCACTTAGCTTTCACCTTGAAGACCACCAAGCTTGGCCCAGCTGTGGCACCCCAAAAACCAAACACATCTTTGGATGCCTCAAATTCAGTCTACCCAAACAAAACACGCTTAAAGGGTTTGGAGACTCTTTTTTGAGATGTCCCAAATTCAGACCACAAAAAGACACACTTTTCGTTTGCAGACCCAAAAAAGGGGTGTCTCGTGGGAGAACCCCTTGGGCATCTCACAGATGCTCTCTTTCAGGACGTCGAAGCCGTCCTTGCCCTGCCTCAGGTAGTCCTCGCACCGGTCCAGCCATGTTGGGAAGCACACCCCATATAGGTACCACCAGGGGGGTGGGGAGGGGGAAAATGGTAAAAAGGCTGGGACTGAGGGAGGACCTGTTGATGGTTGGCTGTTCTGGTTTTTATGTTCATCTCAAAAATGTTTACGCTCTCATTCGTTTTTTTCTAGCTGTTTTTTAGGGAGCTTTTTCATCGTTTTGTTTGAGGATAGACATTTGGGTTTATTTTGCCTTGTTCATTGTTGTTCTGGGGAGTGACAACTTGGTTTCTTCATTTGAAAGAGTTAGCCCTTTTAGTAGTTATCATGTTCTGGGGTGTTGGTGGTGCATTTGTGTTGACATCGTGTTTGTAATTGAAAGTGTGTTATAGGTTAAAGTTACAGTATAATGAAAGGTTATAAAAGCTTATACTGTTTAATCATATTATAATTGAATAAAAATAATATGAATAAACAACAGTCAGTTTGTCCCGTATTCAATCTCACCAGCGATGCAACCACTATAACAACTCATACCATACTCACAACAATAATGCTCGTATCATTTTATTAATTGGACTGTGTAAATTTCAATTAAGTCGCTTAATATGTGTCTCATATAATAATTTGTATTTCTATATGACCACCAACTGTTTAGGTTAGGAAAGAAGAAAACATTATTTATAATACACTTTAATTCTTCAATTTTAAGACAATGTATTAAACCTACTCTAACTTCATGAATGTTATTTTGACAGTGTGGGTTCATTGCTTGGTAATACATTTTCCTATTCTTGAATCTTTATTTAACCTCTTGTGTATCAAATATTCTGTCAATGTGTTTCTCTGTATTGTTTTATATCATAATGACTTTCTGTTAAATGTGTAATATAATTATTTTGCATTTGTTTAAACATTTGTTTAATTGAGGTTCTGCTTTTTCCAGCCCTTTTCAGGAATGTCTTTATTTCTCATAACATGTTCTTCTTTATCCAACAAATACCAACAATCAAACCATGTTGATGTAATATAATCACCAATCACATTAAAAACATTAACAGGTAAAAAAAGTCTAACCTCTAACAAAACGATGAAACAGCTCCCTAAAACAGCTAGAAAAAAAACAAATGAGGAGGAACACACTTTTGAGATGAACATAAAAACCAGAACAGCCACCCATCAACAGGTCCCCCCTCAGTCCCAGCCTTTTTACCATTTTTGTTTGGGTGTTGGGGGGGTGAGGGGGGTGTTGGGGAGGGGGGGTGTTGGCTGTTGGGGAGGGGGCGGTGTTGGGGAGGGGGGGGTGGTGTTGAGGGGACCAAGAACGCGGAACATGTAGATGTGTTGTTCCAGGACACCCTTGCGCCGAAGATAAAGAAAGGGGCGACTCGCAACTCGTAGGCTTCTCGCAGGCTTCGAGAGGTCGCGCTTGGTAACTTGGTAATTGGCTCAAAGCCACAGAAGAGACACCCCTTTCTATGCAGAATCGAGCTGTCAAACTTGAGTCAAACCCTTTATCCTCCGAGAAAAACAATTCTTTCTCTGGCCAACTTGTTGCCCCGGTGTCAAGAGCAGGTCAAGAAACAACGACTGCATATGGGCCATGAAAGCCTTAAACAGATATGCTTCAAAACGATATTTGGTGCTGTAACTTGTGCTTTTGTTGTTTGAACACAATTTGTTGTTGTTTGAACAAAAACACATTCATGGTTCCTGTTGGGAGGAGGAGTGCCAGTAGCAAACAACCCAGACTCTAGCGGTTCCATGTTGGTTTGGAGAAAAGGGTGTTTTAATTACAGTGGTTCTATGTTGGTGGTGCAGGAATTAGTTCAATCCAAACTGACTCAGCATATGACTCATTCAGTTTGGCGGAACCCTCCTTTGTGTGCAAAAAACCTTCTGACGGCCAAGCTTTGCACAGCCCAAGCGACGGGACCTCCCAACAAGTGGGTGTTCTTTTGTTTGAGGGCACCTGTTTTGGGTGCTGTTGAAGAAACAAAGGGTCTTCAGAAGTGAGGGAAGTGTTTTGGGCAGAAGCACCACACTTTTTCAGGGCACTCTTTTTCTTGATTCCAACGAAAGATGAGCCACGCAGTTGTTGTCCCGGAAAACTGGCGAAACATCGCCATGGGTTGCCGCAGCAACTGGCGGGAGGAGCACCAAACCGCCTCCACCCTGTGGGAGTTCCATGGGAGAATTGGCGGCACTCTTTTCCTCACTTCCGATCGAGTGGACTGGCCCACAAAAGCAACCACACTTCTTGCTTGCCACTTTTAGTGGTTTAATACAGAAAAACCCGCTCGTTGGCAAACAGTCAAAGTCCGAACATCCCTTGGCAAAATGCGCCACAGAGAAGACACCCCACCCCAAAACAATGGATGTCTTCCTTTGGGAGAAATGCCCCCCCCCCAGAAAGATGGAGGAGGATGGAGGATGCATGAAGACCAAAGCAATCCAGGGAATCAGTCCTTGGTGCAGACCTTGTAGTTCTTATCCATGACCAGCGGCTCAGCGCCAATCCTCGGGTTTGCTTCAACCCCCTGTTTTTTTTGTGTGTGTGTGTGTGTGTGTGTGCGTGTGTGTCAGGGGACAGGCAAAAAAATGCCGACTTTCCGGCGGGTTTCCCTTTAAGCCAACCTAAAGGGCACCTTCACAACACATATCGTACACATGTTGGCTTCCGCAGGGCTTTCCTCTGGCACCGGAAAAAAAAGAGAGGAACTTCCCGCACAAAAAACAACAACGTCACACTTATGATTCAACTTGGGCTTCTCCCGCAAAAAAAACAAAAACAAAAACGCACACTTATGAGTCAATTTGGGAAACATAGAACAGAAGCGGTTTCGAACTGGTTTCGAGGCAAGTACTAAGTAGGGAAGTATTTGATTGGGGTAAAAGGGCCGAGTTTCCTTACTACTCAGCGGACAAGCATGTTGCAATGTGTTATACCTGTTAGCATGGCTTATAAAACGCAGTGCTCGTCATTGTGCACGAAACTATTTGGACTGAAGGATCCCTTGACTAAAAAACAATCATCCCTGGGAAGCCTACAAGTTGACAGGTGAGTCATATTCAACACTTGCTCTGGAAGGGTCTAGCCCAAAAACCTATGACAAAGAATCAACGGGTTTCTTGCCCCACCTATTTACGGCTGGACCTCACTTGGTGGGTGAGGAAGTGGGGGTGTCTCATCGCTTTCAAGTAGTCTCGGATAGAATTCTACCAAGCCAGCAAGTTGGCAGCTCGATGCAGGTCGGCTTTGCGCAACACCCCTTCCTTAAACATGGTTCAGCCATTGCTTAAACAACCCGCTTTTGGCTTCCCCAAGAGACCCGGGGTCTGGCTCTTCAATTTTCCTCAACTCAGTTTCCCTCAAATTGGTGGTTTGGATGGGTGGTTTGATGGTTAAGCAGGGTTTTTTTTATTCAAGAGCAGGGGCTCAAATCCAAGTCCAAACCAATCCAAACCACCAAAGGGGTACCTGACCCACCGGCGAAGCTGCCGAGCCCCGGGCTTGACGCTGCCTTCCAGAATGCGCTTGTTGGGTTCCTTCTTGGCGTCGAAGCTGAAGCTCACGCCGCTCACCTGCGACGAAAAGAGGTTGGAACGTCCAGTGCCGCCGCCACGATGGCAAGACGAGCCAAAAAAACGCAGATGGGTGTGGCTCAAAATTAAACAGGAGGGGCAAACCGCAGGTTTTGGCCACTTACCAGGGCAACCCATTTCGGTACCGGTTTTTTGAGCCACAGCCAGATGGTGCCATTCTTGGTCCTCCAAACGGGTGTGCTGTGGCCCATGGGGCACTTCTGTACATTGGCTGCCTGAAACAAGTTGGGAGTTTCTGGAGGGTATAGATCTGATTCCCGGACGACGATTGAAAATGCGTTGCTACGTGTTCTGGGATACCTTACATCCCAAAGGAACTCTGCGATCCAAGAAGCCGCATGCTGCACCCTGGCCAAATAGTCCGTTTCTGGATGGTTTCTTTTCCGATTCAAGCAACAAGTGCTCCCGCATGTGGCAATTGCCGAACAACTCATATGCTGTTCACTGAAGTCGACTCCCCAACAGCTACCTCAGCTATTGCTCCACATAAACCAAACACACGTCTAGTTTCTGCCTCCAACAATCGTGGAAGCTGACAGCGATTCGGAAGACAACTTTTGGGGGACCCGCTATCCACTTCTCAGCTTCCGGTTTGATATTTTCTTACGGAGGGGTGTTCCCATGTACCCACAAGAGCCAGGGCTTCAAATCCAAATTCAAACCAATCCACACCACCAATCCAAAGGGAAATCTGAATCTCCCTAGAGTCTCCATGACCCTTAAAAAATGGGGTCATTACCCAAAATTTTCCGGGGTCACGGACCCATTTTTAAGGGTCAGAAGGAGACTCTAGGTCTGAGTATTGGAAGGCTAAAGATCTGCAAAGCAAAGCAAATTCCTCCGCCACTTGGCCATGGGCCAAAACCCCGGTTAGCCCCCAGTGAACCTCCGATTCAATCCAACCACTAGAATAGGCAGCCTAAATGGGTGGTGAATTAATTCGCCCATCCCAACCAACATGGGATCCCCTTTAACGGTTTTGACCACCACAGCCACTTCTGTTCTTCTCCCTTATCAGGGTCTGGCCCCGGAGGTTCCCAGTTCCCGGCCTGCAGGAAGCGGCCCTCCAAGCGGGGGTACTGGGACACCGAGTTCTCCAGCGCGTTGAGCAGCTGACGAGGCGAGCCGAAAACGAGCCGCGCGAAAAGAAAAAACCCGCGGCAAGGAGAGACACGGAGGTCCGAACCACACGAAACCAGAGACGTGGCCCAGAAATTTCCCAATTGACATTGCCATGGAACGTGGGTGGTGTCCATGGTGTGTCAGAGGTCACTGGATTTGCCCCTTCACATTTGTTGATTCTGTGTATTGGTGGGTTCCAACAAATGATTGAAACGCTTGGAGGTCCATAAAAGGTCCCCTTGAGTTAGAACCTGAACGGGTTTTAACGGAGTGATGCTGGCAACCGCACCTAGGCTGCCAGATTTGCCGGAACAGGTTTTTATGAACGTTTGCTGATGCGTGTCCTGCACAAATGCAATGCTCAATGATGCAAGTGGTCGAGAGCATTCGAGGATCCTGGCTATACCCCGAAAGAAAGGGCAAATTCTTCCGGCACACGCTTCGCTTCTGCCAAAGAGATCCTTGAAGTTGGAGCACTTGGATGTTCAACCAACTTGGGAAGCGCTTTCAGACCATGGTTATAACTTGGGCAACTGGTCCCCTTACAACCATGGCTTACAACCGACTAAGTTCTTTCAACATCCAAGCGCCTCGCCAAGCCGCAGAGCACCGTTAACTCAAATTCCCAGCGTTGAATAGCAGTGCTGTGACTGAATCGTTTGCCTCAGACTCGTCCCACATGCTTCCAAGTCCCAAGCTATTTGGTGGAAGTTTTGATCCTTTGGAGGTTGGGGTTCCCCTTGGATGCTCAGCTTGGCAAGTAGACTATAACCATGATTAGATGTCAGCCAACACTGGTTGTCTCACTTGTAGTTATGGTTATAGCCTACCAAGTGTTTGAACATACAAGCAGGTATGGTCTCTAAACGGGACACGTTGATTGCTCTTCCCCCGAAACCCAAAAGGCTTTACCTCTAGCAGGCTCAAGGAAAAAGGATCGAGATTTATGTCCAAAAGTTCTATCCGAAACCGATGCGGTCACAGACCCGCCGTATGGAACCCTTGCAGACTTCTGGTTTCAAGCCCCTGGCGCTTGAAACCGTTTTCCGCAGCCGTGTTTTTCTTTTTTTTTCGGGCGGCAGGCCTGCGCGCCGGTGAGCTGCAGCAAGCAAAGCTCATCCAGCATGGGCAGCAGGTTCACCAGGTCCCGGACCTTGATGTCGCCTGGCAAAGCGATCCATGGTGGCTCTTCCAGTTACGTGGGTAATGTGTACACACGTAGTCATGACCTACATTTCATGTGTAAACAAATGCAGGTGCTTGTGAATGGAAGAGAAAAAACACTTTCTCCACAAATGTCTGGGGCAGACTCGAAATAGAAGCCCCGCGGTTGGATGGTCTGCAAATCTACGAGGCCGAACTGACTGGCAATCCCGCAGTTGCTTTGGCTTTTGGCCAGTAAGGCTGTGCAGCAGTGGCATGTGGGGGCGCGTGCTGTTCCAGCCACCATTTCTTTGCTCATACAAATGCCATATCTCAAGCATGCCGAGGACCAATTTGAAGTGCCAGCGCAGTTGCGATCGCGTCTTGAAGGGCAGAGTCCGAATGCTCTTGCAGCCGCCGTGTCAGCAGCGCGCGCAGCATGTGTGGTTCCCTGACAAACGAGGCCATTGACAGCTGGGTTTCGCACCCTCAGAACCGCGAAACCAAGGCTGAGGTTTAGTTGCACAAAATGTTCACTGCGAGCATTGACTTTTTCCTAGTTTTGTTTTACGATTTAGCACATACCTAGAGTCTCCATGAGGGGTCATGGACCCATTTTTTAAGGGTCATGGAGTCATGGAGACTCTAGGTACGCATCTAATTTTCACAAGCTCAATCAGCCAAAACGAACGGGAACAGATAATTTGCTGTGCTGGCCGGTTGGCGACTTTCAGTCAGGAAATATAGAAATACAATGTGTGTGTGTGTGTGCGCACATGCCTTATTCTGTTATGATGCATACATATCATATATGTCATACATGCATGTATTCTACAAGCATGTATATAGATAATATACATATAATAAATATGTTATATTATATGTGGCATCTACAAACGCCTGCACAAAAGGTGATGCTTTAAAATCGAAAATTTTGTGAAAAGGGCAAATCTCGGGACTGCACGAGATGCTGCTTGGATTTGACGAAATCCAAGATCTGGATGTTTAAACTTTTCTTGCAACCTATAAGCCTCCTTGCAACACACATGTTGCTTCCAGCATCGCCAGGTTGCAAAGAGAAAACATGTACAGCACTCGAAACTACACTATGACCAAATTTTGACGTTGAATATCATTTCTGAAAGCCGCTGCAGCCTCACATGCTAAATGATTGGTAACTCTCGGACAACTTGCCTAGGCCATTTGAATGTTGTGAACCTTCGTTCCCCACCTTGAAAGTGTTAGAGTTCTTATAGTGTAGTGTTCAAGCACCCATATCCACATACACAATATCAGAGCGCGCACAGTACCGATATAGAACAATGAAGCAGAACAGAGCGGTCTCGATTCACAAGTCAAAAACATACCCGAACATGGGTGAGGCTGGCATATACACGGCACGTACATCACAACGCCAAACAACCAGCAATCAAACAGGAAGACTAAGACTGACCCAATTGCGAGTTCATGTTCCAAAGACCTCACGGAAGGCGGAAGTCTAAACTCCTCCAGTCAGAACTGTCGTTACCCCCAAAGTGAGCATGATGCTGGGGCCCAATGAATAAACCGTTAGGGGTTTTGTTCAAGCACTTCCAAAATGGGGCACCCCTCCATTCAAAGGTTTGTCAAACAACTAGGTTCCCATCTGGCACGAAGTAACTCACTTCCGATTGCTGCCTAAAAGCCGAAGTCCAAAATTGGCTTCCATAAAGGGTCAAGTCTTCCATTTGCAGTGGCCCGCCGGGGAAAACTGAGAAAACATGTCCGGTAGTGGTAGATTTCCTTTAAAACCAGCAGGGAAATGGAAGCAACAAGGGAACTTCTCGGTGAGGTGCGCGGGCCTTTCTCGATGATTGCATCCGCCCGGATGGTTCCGCTGTTCAGCACCGCCACATCTGCCTCGCGACACGAACATGACGCACATCGCAATCACCATCATCGTCAAAATTTCTGAAACAGATTGGTTCTTGCCCCAAAATTATGGGTGAATCCCCTTATTTATGGGTAGTTTGAGGGTTCAGGTATATTCCAACAAACCTGACCACACTGGCTGACGATCGCTGGCCTTTAGCGCAAAGCGCATGATGTCGGTGATGAAGTTGCCGATGTTCGTCTCCTCTACCAGCGAGTGGGGCGTTGGAGTTGGCGCTTTTGAAAGACCAAGCCAAGTGATTGCCTGGGCTTTCATTTGCTTAAGCCTCCTGGACAAAAAGCAACATATTTCCAGTTGTGATAGATTCCCTTTGAAACCAACAAGGGAAAACAACACATATTCTGAAGCAAATAATTCCCATGGGCGTGTCTTCTTTTAGGAATCGGACCCCCAACATGGCAAAACAGTTTTTTTGGTTTCCCTGCAAAATCGCCACACAACTACCCTCAAAGAAAGACACACCCAGAAAGTATTAAACTTCTTAAACGAACCCCCCCCTGTATGAGCTCGACTTATTTCCAGGTGAGCTCTCTGTGTTTTATGTTTACTGTACCCACCTGTCGGGGGTGGTGCACTATACCCTGGGAAAAAAAGTGTCAGCCATACTCCCCAGTGAACCTGTGCTGAAGTCACAGCAGATTTCAGCCACGCCAACTTGGGTGTTTCTCAAAATGGCGGACCCCTCTTTCTACCGGCAAAAGGAAAAAGATCAAACCAACCAGTCTAGGAAGCTTCTCGAGTGGAGCTGACCTCGTTTTTGAGCAACCCACTTGGTTCAGCTCCAGAAACTTCCCACCGGTCGCGCCTTGGTGCGGATGGAGGCAAAGGTGCTGTCCAGGTCCACCTCCATCGGCTTCGCCCGCTTGGAGTCAAAAAATAAAACCAAAGGAAACCAATGCAACGTGGATTCCAACCGATTTGGGTGTCTATATGGCTGCTCAAAAAACCGCTACCAAAATGGGGTGCCCGATCGGTAAGTGGAAACATGGATCAAAACCTGCGGTTTGCCCCTCCTGTTTAATTTTGAGCCACACCCATATCCCTGACTAAAAGTGCCCCCAATACATGTGTTCCGCCCCACAGGACCTTGACCAGGACCTTGGCTCGGCTCAGGTTGGGAGCCGGCCATTAGATAGGCCCGTGGCTGGCTGGCTGTACTTTGGTTGAGGTTTAGGGTTTTAGGGTTTAGGTTTGGGATTTAAGGGTTTAGGTTTAGGGTTTTAGGATTTTGGGGTTTAGGTTTTAGGGTTTAGTTTTAGGGTTTAGGGTTATTGGATTTTAGGGTTTAGGTTTAGGTTTATTGGATTTTAGGGCTTAGGTTTAGGGTTTAGGTTTAGGTTTAGGGTTTTAGGATTTTGGGGTTTAGGTTTAGGATTTTAGGGTTTAAGTTTAGGGTTTAGGGTTTAGGTTTAGGGTTTTAGGATTTTAGGGCTTAGGTTTAGGGTTTTAGGGTTTAGGTTTTGAGTTTTGGGTTTAGGTTTAGGTTTATTGGATTTTAGGGTTCCATGTTTTTCCAGCCAAAAAAGTGTACATGGCTGGCTGCAAACAAAGACTAGCTTGCGTGCAAGAGGGGAAAAAAGGAAATCCCGCACACACGATTCCCGCAGAGGAGGGTGCGCATTTCGGGGCCCAACCCCAGACTTCGGCCCCACACACTTGGTCCGGACCTGTGAGCTTCAACCTCTGAAAACACTGGCCCTGCGCATGTTTTCTGACACATTCAGGCGGGCCGTCGGGGGACGTTGGGGCAATACACATGTATTGGCCGTAAAAGTGCTAAGGGAGCAGGCAACAGCTAATCTAAGTTACCTGGAAATAAACAATCAAGGTCATCCCCTTCACAATACAAAGGGACATCTGCCATCTACTTTGACCCTGGTGCAAAATGCTTTGAAGGCCGAACCAAAAAGCAAGCAAGATGAGTTTTTCGGTGGACAGAGTCTCCTGTTTGGGTCGAGCAAGGAATGCTGGCAATTTTGTCAAAGGAAACCATGTCAAAGGAAAACCACCAACCCCAAAAAGGGTACCCTCAAAGACCGAAACAATTCGCCGACACGGCCATTTTGAGACAAAGCGCTTTTGCATACCTCTATAGATCTGATTTCCGGGCAAAGACTGCAGCGCTTCCAGTTATATACCGCATGCTTGGGCAACCGGGTTTCTCGTCAGGTTATACAATCTAATGATTGTCCGGTTACACAGGGAAATTACCCCAACAAAAATTCATAAATAAACAACCAGGTCTTGTCTGAAACCTTATACAAGATTTCTCCTGGTTACCTACTGAAAGTAAGACTGGAAACCAAACTCATATTCCTCCCGTGTGAGTTGAACATCTTTGAGCGAGTTGAAGAACCCTGACAGAGGCACTCTGGAGCTCGGTAGAACACACATTTGATCGAATTTGTCCGATGACATTGGATTTCAGCGAGATGATGTTGACCCTGGATCAATAGTCGCCCTGCTGGGTACTAGGGGTGCCCTGTTCGTGTTGGTTTGTCACTTTTCGAGGGGACACCCCCCCTATTAGACTCATTAATCCGGGGTCAGCATTCCCTAGTGTCTGATGGTAACTTGGAAAGCATCCATTGCATTCCCTTTACTACAGGCACAACCGGAAAGAGTGAGTGCTGCTCAGGTGCTTCATTTCCAGGTCCGGATGGATCGAATGCAGCCCAATTGAACAAAGATTGAAAATAATGAACCCCTTTTTGGACTCCCTTTCAACAACATGCTCGCCAAGAGAATGGACCTGAGGTCCAACAAACGACTTAGCCAAAGAACAACAGCACGCCGTTGGCCGAAACGATTCAACTTGCGCCAGCAACGCCTCAGCCCTTTTTTTGCGATCGGTGCGGTAGCTAGGGAACGACAACAAGTCCGGGGTTTGGGAACGAACCGTTTTGGGATTCCCTTATATACAGGAAACCAAATCGGGCATATGGTTTTCTCAGGGTCTTCCAACTCATGTTGACGCGAAACATCTCGAGTCTCTCAACGCCAAGGGGCAGCAGTGGCCCCAACCAGCTTGTCCATGGCCTGCAGGATTTCTGATCGAGACCCCTTGACCGGTGCATGGACCTCTTGTACCGCCAAGGGGGTGCCCTTGTGCCGGCACTGAGCCCTGCACACCATTTTGGTCGGCTTGAACAAAATAATGAGGCAAACCCATCCAACCAATTTTCTGACAAAACAAATGTTTTCTGGGCCGTCACTTTCAGGTTGATATACCAATGGAAACCTCAGGTTTTTCTTCGTGCGAACATTGAAGGCCCATGGCAGGTGAGCACCAAAATCATCACCATCCGTCTCAAAAAAGCGGTCGAACGGTCCATAAACAACTTGCAACCTTTGGTACGGTTGCAAAACCACTTTGTTTGGTGCAGCCTACTAAAAATGACCAGAACCCAAAACAAAAGCGACAAACCAACAACAACTTGCCAAGAAGAGTGATGAAAACCACTGGCAACCCAACCCCGGTCTCCCTCCACAACTTCGATCGACCGCGTAGAGTCCGGAGAAAAAACAACAAAAAACAATTCCCATGGGTGTTTTGAGGGTCTGAGGGTCTGAGGGTCTGAGATTCTGCCGGCTTGAGGGTTCCGAGGGCTTTCCATGACCCTTAAAAAATGGGGCCATCACCCTCACTTGCCCAAAGGACCCAGAAATAAAAGGTTCACCTTTTGGGGCAATGACTAAAACTAGACCAAAAAGGAGAAACCAAAAGGTCAAAAGGTCGGCTTTGGGCAACTGAGTACCCAAAACAAAAGGATTCAACCCATTTTTTACGGGTCATGGAGCGTCGAGGTGAGGGTTCCAAGGGTCTCAGAGTCTGAGGTCCCGGCCGCCCCGAGGGTGCCCATGCACTCGTCCACGAAGCCCTTCATCTCGAGGTCCTGGCACAGCCCCAACAGCCGGGCAAGGAACCAAACGAGTTTGGGCTAGGTCATCGCAGAAATGGAGGCTGGGCAGAACAGGAGGCTGACCCATCCAAGTTTTTAGGCAGACATGTTGCTTTTTGTTCGGGGATCCCCCAGAATGGGATTGAAATACAAATTTCCTCCAGATTTGAGAGGTTGGAACAAGTTGGTACCCGATGCATTCTCTGTAGTCTATTTGAGTAGGGGAACACTCCCCTAAAAAAAGGGTAGAAGGGCACTACTGGAGGACCTAGTGGGGCACCCGCTTCGGTTGATTTGCCTTGTGGGTTAAATACGGAAACCTAACCACTGAACCAACCAAAAAGACAAGATGAAAAGGAACCGGACCCTCTTTGTTTCTTTCCCAAAAGGGCTAAGTACCTTCTAAGGAGGTACTGAACGACCCCTTGAAAACCCCCCAAAAGCCATCCTGATGAGGTACTTGGACCCTGGGTTTGGTTGCATTGCCTTGGCTGTCCGCTTTCTGATCCCTTGCTAAAAGCGAATGGCTGGTGGACACCCAATCACTGAAACGACTAAAAAGCTACTTACGCGGACCGTAATCAAATAATCAGGCCTGATTTCGCTTTTGGTAGGGACACAATCCACATTGAGGGGTGTCTCCAAAAAGGAAGGGTCCGAATCCTTCGGATTCATCCGATGCTGAGGGAACCGCCGCTAAATCCGAAGAACAACTCCAATTGGGTCTGGGAAAAGATGGACAGGTGTTGGGCAAGACTTGTCAATGGTTGACCCAATGATTGGGATTCCCTTGCCATGAGCGAACACATGCACGATACGCAAATGTATGCAAGTGAGCATTCTGTGGCAAGTGAGACAGCGAGGTGTTCTTCAACACAACACGGAATGGGCTCAGATTTAGGATGTTTCTCCCATGAGGCTACAATTCACCTAACTACAGTGGACCAAGCAAACTCTTCTCACAAGAAAGCCTTTGGAAGACTGCACAGACCTTCCATTTGCAAACGACGTCCGACAGGTCCATGCAAATGCGGAGGCTGCCCGTGCAGGTCAAGCAAACAGCGTTTTTTTTGCACTGAAGCCTGGAAGCGTATGAGAGTGATCAACTGCTGGATACGAGAGCACGCAAAGACCTCCTGGCCAGAACCAAACACGTCACATGCATTCTGAAACTAGGTCCTCCAGTAGAGAGGTTAGAAGAAGGGTACCCTTTTTTTTGTGTGGTCTATTTTAGTAGGGGAACCCTCCCAACCAAAAAAGGGTTAAAGGGCACTACTGGCAGACCTAGAAAACACCGACCAGGAAGCCCGTGTCGAGCTCGACGAGCCGTGCGACACGAATATCGACGCGTGCAGCACGCGAGAAAGCGATGGCTCTGTCGCATCCTACCTGCCCAGTCGACTCCAAACTCACCAGGCCATAGTTGCAACGGTCTGGTACAAAGTCACTTCGCCCTAGTCCTGCTAAATGGTGGGTGTTAAAATATTCCCTGAAGAGAAGTTCTCTGCCTTTGAACCCAAGCGATTTTGTCATCTTCGCTGGTCCTGGGAGTCGGCTACATCCGATTCTACCCGGACGGGCGAGCGCCCCGGCCTCACCCCAAGACATGAGAGCAATGGCTGCAAGCCGGTTGCACACTTTGAACAGCCCCCTCCCCTGAAAGCTTATCAGAACCTTACTTCCTACCATTAACCCAAAACCCAACTCTTGTGGCAGGTTCCATGTGAATTGAAATACGATTCGGCTGTCTGCCATCCAAAAAAAACACGAGAGGTTGGGTTCTGAGAACCTTTCCAGTGGGCGCGGACAGTTTGCCTTGTCACTCGTTGTTTTCGGCCGCGGCATGCCACGGCGCTTCGGTCGCGTCCGGCGGAGCGGGCGGGCGCGCACGCGTTTTTCCGGCTCAGCTCTCCGAGGTCTTGGTGTGGATGAAGTCGGCCATGGACTTCAAGTTCCTAACCAAGCCAAGTGACGTCACTTGGTAGAAAATGGGAACCAAAGGTTGACGTGGCTGGGCTGCCCTCAGATCCCCTGCTAGAAGTTTAACTTTTAGCAGGTTAAATGGACATCTCCAAAGCTAAGGGGATGGCTGGCAACCACCAAGATGGGTGTGTCTTTCTCAGATGACCCCAAAAGTGCAGCTTCCTTAGGGCGTTCAAAGAAGGGGTATCCTACAGACCCTGAAAAGCTTGCCATGGGTGTCTTATTCTTGGTGACCCCCCAAAATTGTGGTTTTCCTTGGGGTTTCCCTTTAAAGCCCACAAAGAAGGGGTTCCTCAAAAACAGACAGAGCCGCATGTTTCAGTGGTCAACTCGCCAATCAAAGAGGGAACATGCTAAGCCAGCTGTCTATAGGGAAACCATGGAAACCAAATTGAGTCAGCTTCGAAGCAACCAACACCCTTTGTTGGATGGTTTAAAGGCGAAAGCAAGTGCTTCCAGCAGGGAACCAGGGGAAACCATGCTGACAAAGAGAAAGCAACACGGGTGGTTACCTACTGTAGTGGTTTATTGAAAACGCACAATTGTAAAGCGAATGTAATCTTCATAGTGGGCAAGGGGGAAAGCTCAGGCAAGAAACTCTGGTTACCCTCCTCCTTTCCCTGACCCGACCCCTTCTCCAGATCCATTTTCCCGCATAGAGGCCAAAGCGAACAACCAGCCAACAGAACAACTACAAGGAAAATGGATTTTCGGGAAAGCTTCTGATCACTTCTTCCCATTGCAACCCATGAGGTGAATGCCGGTATACCAGACCAAACGACGTGGAACTTTCCTGCCACGAGCAAGGCTCGCTTCCTGAGTGGATTGCCCGAAAAGGGAAGAGTCCACTTCTTGTTTGCCACCACGGCCTTCCAAAAAGTAACTGACGTCCTAGACTCTCCACGACCCTTATAAAATGGGGGGTCATTGCTCAAAAGAAAGGGGTCATGGCCCCATTCTTTTTTTGGGTCATGGAGAGTCTTACCAGGAACTCACGGAGTGACGGACACCTTTCAACCACTCGCCAGCTCCGATTCTCCTGGCCCACAAGTCGCACACATAGACGCCGGAGTGGTTTTTGTTTGAACAGCTTTGGAGATACCCGGGCTTAGGTCTAACTCTGTTACATGTAGAATATGTAGCATTCCCTAAAACTTTGTTGCTTTCTGCTCTGCTAAAAGTTCAACTTTTGGTGGTTTAATACGGAAAACTCATTGGTTGGCAAAAAGTTGAAGTCCTAACATATGAGCAACATGCACAAAAGAAAACATAGGTGTCTTTTTTGAGAGTACCCTTTGTGGGTGGGCTTGAAATCGGAAACCAAAAGGAAAGCCACCCATTTGGGTGTTCCCCTTTGAGACAAACCCATCTAGAATAGTGATACCCAATTCAGACGCGCCACCAGTTCCACACATTCGAGTCACAATCTAAAAACGTGGTATAAAACTGGTCTACCCAACTCCATATCAGAAAAGGCGGATTTCCGCACCTATTTCTGGCTGGACCTGCCCCTTGAGCTTCCACCCGGGCTTTGATTTTGATGGCCCATCCGGAGACGGATTTCCCGAGGGATCGGAGCGAGCGAGCGGAACTCTCCGGGGGTTCGGGCGGGTAATCGAAGACCATGGAGGCCGGGAGGTTGACGCCAGGCACCAGGTTCCTCACCTGCGCCAGCGAGCGAGCGACTTCGGCAAAGGGGCAGGGTACTTAGCAAGTGGTTAGTAAGCCTGGCTACCCACTTAGGACACGTAGAAAAACCATGGACAGGTGGGTTATAACCGGGGTTATTACTCACTTACTAGGTACCCTGCCCCTTTAAGTTTCCCGCGCGAACGAGCGGGGGGCGGGTTTCGGGATATTCGCGCGCCGGGAAGCGAGACTCAAAGAGAAAACTCGAAGGGCTCCACTTTGGAGGGGGTTCCTTTCTGGATTGTTTGTGGTGTTTGAATTGCTTTTGTTTATGTTTATATTTCATTTTTCCAATTATCTTTGCTTTGCTTCTTTTGGGACGAGGGTGGTGCCTCTTTTCTTTTCTGGGGGCACCTGGTTGTTGTTTTTGGGATGCTGATTGAACCTTGTAAGGAGAACTTCAAGAAAGGCAAGACACTGATTGGCAAGAACTCCAATCCTTCCGAACAAAAAGTCACAAACAGGTAAACCAGAGAAGCGGCACCAACCGCGATGTGGCCACTCCCCAACAACTAAAACTGGCCCGCAAACCGCTCAAAAAAGGCACCATACCCTAACAGTGTAGTGTGCTTGCTTGGCCCCCTAGAACAGTGCTAAACCACCTGCAGCCACCACCATGCAACTAGGTGCTTCAGGGCCACAATTCGCAGAAAGTAGGTGGCAGAATTTTCCCCCATGGTTTAGCTATGCCCTTTACCCGCAACCGGGAATTGTGCCATCTGTTGCCCGAATGTTGAGCCAGGATCTAAGTAGAACCCGTCCCACTATTGGGGGGGTGTTCCCTCCAAAAGTGGTCTGAATCCAACCACTAAAAATAATTGGACACCCCCCCATGAAAATCGACCATGGGTTGCTTGATCCGGGGTTAAGATTATACTCACTTCCCAAGTTGACTGGCCCAAAAAAGTCTGAACTTTTTATTTACCACTAAGTCTGGTCTTTCCAACAAGTTGTTCAAGTCCACCAACTCAGGAAGTGGACTTGGCTACTTTCGTCTCGTTAGGAACATCCCCAAAAAGCCCCAGCTGGGACCACTGAACCCGGGTACTGTAGATCGCTTTAGAGGAGAACATCTCAGGTGAAAATTTTGGAAACCTGAGGGGCATCCGAGAAAAAAACAAAAAGAAGTCTACAGATTTAACCGAAAAGCAGAGTGAAAATGGGAACAGGAACCAAGAGGTCGATTACATCCGGTCGATTTCCAAGTGAGCGCAAGCAAGCGCCAGCCACAGCACTGGGCGACCCATCAACCCCTGCCTGGTTGCGGAACTCCACGCTGGACAAGCTGTCCATGCCCGCTTCCATGAGAGGCGAATCCATCT